CATTTTCAATGTGTACCATACCACACCGATTGCCAGAAAAACGATATAGATATACCGTCCGAGCTCGGGCGGTATTTTGTGGAAGCATGGGCTCTCGCGCGCGGCGTGATTGAAATCCGTACATAGAGAATAGGTGGTGATATCTTGCGGAGGCTCTGTGACAAGTTCTCGTATGGCTTCTTCTGGCGCCCTTGCAGCCGTGTGGTGGTGTACTTTGAGTTCCTCATATCAATTCTCCTGGATACTTCACTTCCCTGGTATTTTGATACCACAGAAGTTAACCCACTCTTGACCAGACCATCCATCAATAGTGTATTTAAGATGTACACGTGCAGTTCATGTCGAAAAAAACCCCGTAAAAGGAAAAACAAAGCGGACTCAAAGGTAAGGCTGAATTTGATTCTCAGTCCACTCCCAGAACTTCCGCGCAGTTCCGTTACCGCCGTCAGTCTCTGGCTTGATCGCTTCCACCAAATCTTTCCGGACGGGAGCCACACGTCCCCATGGTATAACTAAAATAAAATTTCCGCAACAGTTAATATACTAAACGACAACCCACACTCCCACCACCAATCAGCAGCAGCAGCAGCAGCAGGAGAACAAGAACAAGAACAAGAAGAAACTTACTCCAATTCCCCGGCTCCTTATCCGTGACGTCCGGCGACAACCCAGCGAAGAGCTCGGTATAAGCTCCAAACACAGGCGGAAATTGCATTGGGCGCATCAACAGCTGTAACAAGAGCCATCGGTGACGGAAGAGGTCCGAAGCAAGATACCCCGGATTCAACGCTACGCTGATAACCCCGTCGGCCCGATGGCGCTGCGCAAACTCGGCCGCATACAGGTAATTCCCAGCTTTGCTGATGCAATAATTCCTGTACCGAGCCGATGTGTTGTCGGCGAGGTTCTCCAACTCGTCCATGGATACGCCAACTGATTTCGGAGCGCCTATCTCCATAGCCAGGGATGAAACCCAGACCACGCGGACTGTGTTGGGCGGTTCGGTCTTGGCTGTGGAGATAAGGGTAGGTGTGAGCAGTTTTGTGAATAGGAAGTGCCCGATGTCGTTGACGCCTAGCTGGAGTTCGTAGCCCTGGGCCGTCTTGGATCCTTTGGGAGGCACCATGACGCCGGCATTGTTGAATAGAACATGCAGCTTGTTCTCCTTGGCAAGAAAGCTTTCAGCGGACGACTTGATCGCAGTTAGATCGCTGAGGTCCAGGGGAAGAAAGGCTAGCTCGCCTGTGGAATTAGGATTGGCTTGGCTGATCTCCCCGATTGCTTTATTGGCCTTTTCCTCTGAGCGCGCTGCTATGTAGACTCTTGCATTCTTGGAGAAGAGAATTTGGGCCAGGGCCTTGCCGGCTCCCGTGTTTGACCCTGTCACGATATAGACCTGGATAGAATTCATCAGTACCTATGGCGAACGGGGGAGATAAACCACTTGAGGATGGATGAGCAAAATACCTTTCCCTGTAAATCTGGTAAATTCTTCTCTGTGAACAGGGGTCGCGGAGGAAACACCTGAGTCCAGAAAGTGGAAAACATTTTCGCCCCGAGTTATATTGAACAAACAAAGACAGGCGTTATCGGATTTAATGCTCAATTGCAATCTCGTGTCAAGAATCAGAAACTCATCCAGCCTGTGTCTCCTATTCCATCTTGAATAAGAAAAAATACTATTCCCTAGTAGATGCCAACAAGGATCGGAACGCCAACCTGTCCCTTCCCTGCTTAGTTCCCGCGCTTAATTAGATTTGGCGCTTATCGCGACTAAACCAGGGTCCCCCGCCTTTTTGTTTTTGCAAATATTACATCGTATCTCTCCACCCATGCAGCAACGGCAGTAGCCCTGCGACAGCCCCGGCCGAAGTCTTCAGAAATTTGCACGGGTGGGAAGCATTGTTCTGCTTCTCCAGAATCTCCCACATAACGGTTCTTGGTCTGGGAAAGGGAGGGCGGGAAACAAAAAAACTCTTCAGACTTTTCCCCAAGTTGTTTCATTTTCGTTCTCTTCTTGGTATGTATGGTACGGTAATGGCTCAGAATTTGAAACGGTTAGGAGAACCGCCACATTGTATTCGGCATCTTCATGAACAGAATCCAACATTTTGGATATTCAGCCAGAAAAAAATCCTCTGCAATTATCGAAGGTTGATAATGTGCGTCGTGGGTTGTGATTTCATAAAAGGCGCTGGCGAACTCCGTTCTTGTGTGTAAATGGAAATTAGCCGGAAGGGTTAGTTTCTCGGGTGGAATTCCAGAAGTCATTCTTCAGCAAGAGATAGTATCCCAAGTAGGGGTCTCAAGTAAGTGTCCAGAGCGACTTCGTCCTCCGATTTTATAGCAAGAAAGAATCTCTGAGAAAGCATGTTCGTCTATGACGTTATTCATTGTGGGATTTCGCGGAACCTTCCGTTTCGGCTCGCGCTGCTGAATTGGACAAATATGGCCTACCAGGATCAGGATCGGTGCTTCAAATACATACATACCATGGGCATTAACTAAGCTGCGACGTCATTTTGAGGAGTGCAAACCTAGAAATGCGGTGTCTTTGGTACAGGAACGAGGAAGTACTGCCCTGGTGGCACTGGAAAAGCGAGAGTAAACGTTTTCGACTTGGAGTATAATGAATCCGGCTTACCCTGTCCATGGAATGTTCAATGAGACAAGTTTTCATTCATCTCCTGCTGTAATCCCTGGGCCATCAGGGAACGAACAATTCCATGTTGGATAGTTATTTGAAAATTCTATCCTGCAGGAAGACTGCAGGAAGAGCGGAGGATGTAGTCCTGTGGCATTGGCAGCAGAACAACTCGATTTATCCAAACAAACCCACGGGTAAGTCGGGCGTTGTTCGGATAGAGCATTCATAACATGTTCCCGATAACACACTCTCCATGGCTCGTTCTTGGGCCAGATGAACTTCGTAGCCCTGGCGTCTGCTGTCACGGGTTGCCAAAATAGGGCCTGGGCAGTGGGCGGGGATATCGCGACCTTTATGATCGTTGGTATCAATCGAGCACGAGGGACGAGGAGCAGACGTGGGAATTGCGTGGAAGTATATCAACTGTCAACTACTAACTAGTAGCTAGTGGTTTAAATAAAGACGAATCCTGAATGCTGAATCCTGCTTCCTGGCCGAGACAGCGATCGAACATGCAACATCTCCTGACCCGATCCAGCTGACACCCGGAATAGAACTGACAGGGCCAAGGCAGAGGACGAGGATCAAGAGCGGTGGTGACAATGGGAGGCTTACTGTGTAGTTACTGGTTAATAAATAACAATCACTAGCAGTCATTCCCACTCCCTGATGATGTTGTTGCTAAGAATAGCCGCCTCCGCCCTTGTCTCGTTCGTCTCACCTCAACAGCCAACAGCCCACAGCTTACAGCTACAGCCTACGAAATGCACAGTCCCTCTGATCTTGCCCTCACCCAGGAACACTCACCTCCTCTGGGCCCATCAGGCTGCCACCACCAGATGGGCTGTCCCGCGCCAGACAGCCCCAAGCCTCACTGGCCCCTTGGCTGGCGCCGCTTCCCTGCCAACCAGGACAGCCCGCTTTGTTCAAGGTGATCGATTGCGGCGGTGGCTTCCCCAGCTGCCAGCTGCTGATCAGACCGTGCTCCTGGAGGAAGGTGATTCACCTCACATGGCTTCTTGTTGGCCGCCATCAATAAATATCCACTTGTTGGATTCTTTTTTATCTTTTTTCCCTTCCAACATGTCCGCGTGTCCTGATTTCTCCCTTGTTGGCCAATACTAGAATGCACTAGGAAAAACTTCTATCCCAACTGCTGCCAACTGCTACCTCTACTCTCTCCCTTGTTCTCGTCTGTACGCTCATTACTTGATCCAATAGTTCTTGCGCCGTAAACATAAGTTTACTTCCCACTAACCCTCTCTCTCCCCCTGGCTAGAGCTGTCTCGGCCCTCCTTACCTTCAACTATGCTTCCTACTCCGGGACGACGGGCCCATGAAACGCAGCAAGAACAAGAAACCAGATCCCAAGGCGACTTCGACCGTGTCGAGAATGACCTCGCCATTCATTCTTCTGTGCATTTGACACCTTTCTTGGGAATCGTCGCATCGCTGCTGGGGAAAAGAAACCCGCTAGCCAACCCCGCGAACCCCGAGGAGCACAGAGTATGGCTTCTCGATAACACTGCCTACCGGGCACCTGGCGGCAGATTCAACAACAAAAATATGTCATGGGAGGTTGAGATAGTCGCATGCATCTTCATCAAGCGCGGCCGTGAGGAGGTTGGCAAATTCGTCGCAACCATTGCGGACGCCATCGGCCTCGATGGGGAATTTGGTCTCAATAACAAGGTAGTTCGCGATCGCATGACTCAACGAGTTCAGCCGTTCGTCGATTCTATCGCCCCAGCCCGCTCAATAAGTTTGGATATACCAATTACGCGCCACAACGTCGTCAAGCGCAAGCTAAAGCCATCCAACAGTGACGGCATCATTTCACAGACAGCCCGGATGGACGGGGCAGACATCGGAGATGGAACCGTCATCCGTCCTTCCTTAAGACACTGGACCCATAAGGTATCTATGGATACTGAGTTCGCATCCCCGACCGGCTGGCTGATGATCTCCGATGTGGACGACACCATCAAATACACCCAGACCAGCGACGCTGTTGGTATCCTGCGCACCACCTTTGCTGAGGAACCACGAGTTATTGCCGGCATGCCCCGTCTCTACGAACACATCGACAAAGAACTCGCACCAACGTGGTTCTACCTCTCCTCCTCACCGTACAATCTCTACCCCTTCCTCCGATCTTTCCTCCGCCAAGAGTATCCCCCCGGAACACTCATGCTGCGCAACCACTCCTGGATGGACCTGAGCGGGCTCCTGAAATCGTTCACGAAGGGGACTCAAGCGTATAAAGTCGATCGCATGGAGAAGCTGTACCGCTGGTTCCCAAAGCGGAGGGTCATCTGCATCGGCGACTCGACGCAGAGTGATCCGGAGGCATATGCAGAGATATATCGCAGGCATAAACAGTGGGTGCGCGCCATATATATCCGGCGAGTCACTGACGTGGCGAATATGGAGGAGAAGAACAAGGAGAAGCGCTTTCTTAAAGCGTTTGAGGGCGTCCCGGATGATGTGTGGAGGGTTTTCGATGATCCGGTGCACCTCTATCGAGAGGTCGATATGTTGCAGCGGGAGGACTAAGTGGGGGCCCGGCTCGATTTGTATCCCTTTTTTTTCCTCCTTCGTGTTGTTCTTCTGCCTTTAAATGGTTTTATGGCTGGTCCTAGTCCATTGGGATTGGGTTGGGAGGCAATGGTCATGATGGGGGCGTTTTTGTTCGATTTCTTTTTTCTTTTTCTTTGTTTTTGTTCCCCCGCTTTTTATTTTCATCGTTTCCTCCTCTTGTCTCTTTCGTCGAATGCTTAATGCTTTTCTCTCTTTCGATTATTTCGTCATTCCGGTTTTCGCGTTTCTCTCTGAGTCTGTGTATATACCCCCCAATCGCGACGAGTCAAGATTTTTCATGTAGTGGATGCTCTTTTTTTTTTTTTTTGGGAAAGGCTCAGTTTTCGATTTTATCTGTATTGCCTATGGGATGGTTGCTGCTCACTGCCCTTGTCTTCCATGTTCCTATGTTTAAAGTATCACTTCCCTTTCATTCTTCCCTCACCTTATTATGAGATATTATTATATATCCCAGCTCTGCTTCCCGAGAGAGAGAGTCTCGAATCTGAATTTTCGTTCTCTTGTTCAGGCAACACAAGATGCAGAGGTGGAATTGCAGTTCCTGCAGAATATGTCGTTTCTATACATGGATGATAACCAACGCTGATATATAGTAATAATATATAATAAATTAACCAACTGGAAAAGAACCTTCTTCGCTAGCGGGATGTTTCCGTGGGAATGTTATCTCCTGCTGATCGCTCCAGAGATAACACTGTTTTAGGCATTGCTGGCAGGGAGGAATTGGTATGGAGATTTTTCTCTCGCGATACCAAACAGGTTGGACGATGTCGCATAAAGTCGAGACCGGGTTGATTATGGTCGTCAAACTATCGTATGATCCGGGAGGCGTAGATAAACCGCGTTCATCGGCTGTTTATTTTTTACCTTTGGTAAGTAACTAGCCAAAAAGCATTGACGTCATTCCCATATATATATATATATATATATATGTAACTATGCCCCTCAATTCAATATGAAGATTACTACACGAAGGAGAAATATATAACCTTTATAACTGGTATCATGGGCATGTGCTTGCAGCTTTCATGATATATACATACATGTGTATCGATCCGAATGAGTGAGAGGGAGGATTCATCCATATTAACACACCCTCCGCTCTGTGCCATCAGATCCACACCTCTGTTGGAAATACAATAAACGCAGTAAAATATACAATTCCAAATCCCTCCTCTTCTCTCAAACAAGCCCGTAATATAGCCTCCGCGATGGAACCAACCCCACGAACCCACACCACCACCCTAGCCGAACAGGAAAACATTCCTGCCAGCATGCCCGCCCTCTACCTGCCCCTCCCGCCCTCACACCCGTACACAATCACAAACCCCCCCTCGCCCTCCACCCTCCTCTACACCACAACTCACCCCACCCCAACCCCCACCTCCTCGCAGTACCTGGTAAAAATCCAAACAACAGCCCTCTGCCGCGGCGAGCTCGGGTGGGCCGAAACCCTCTCCCCCGCATCCCATGCCTCCTCCTCCCCCTCCTCCTCCCCCTCCTCCTCCCAGCCCACCACCACAACGACAACCCAACCACAGCCCGACAACCCCGTGCTCCTCAAATGCATCCCGGGCCACGACATCAGCGGCATCGTCCTCTCCACCCCGCAGATCGACGAGCGGAGCATGGCGGGGCCCAAATTCAAAGTCGGCGACGAGGTGATTGGCCTGCTTGCGTTTGCGAGGGATGGCGGCGCGGCGGACGTCGCGGTCGCGCTCGAAGGGGAGCTGGCGTTCAAGCCGCGCAATGTCAGCGCGCTGCACGCGGCGTGTTTGCCGTTGAGTGCGCTGACGGCGTGGCAGGCTGTGTTTGAGCAGGCTGGGGTTAAGGGGTGGGTTCAGGATGCGGATGGGGATGGGGATGGGGAGGAGTGGAGGAGGGATAAGGAGAGGGTGAGGAGGGTGCTTGTGTTGAATGCGAGTGGGGGTGTGGGGGTTATGGTTTGTCAATTGCTGAAGGCGGATATGTTGTTTGGGGACGGGGAAGGGAATGGGGGTGGAAGGTTTTGGGTTTGTGGGGTGTGTTCGGGGAGGAATGAGGAGTTTGTTAGGGATCAGTTGCGGGTTGATGAAGTGTTGGATTATACGAAGGAACGAGAAGGGTTGGGTGCGGCGTTTAGAAGGCGCGGCTGGGCGCCTGTGGATTTTGTACTGGATTGTGTTGGGGGACAGACGCTGAAGCAGGCGTATGATGCCGCTGTTGTCAGGGATGGGGGGATTGTTGTTAGCATTGCGCAGCCCGTTCCTGAGCAGGAGCCGGAGTGGGCGGATGTGAGGGATGCAATTGTGAAGAGGGACTTGACGAGTCGGTTTTTCATTGTCAGGCCGGATGGGGAGCAGTTGGGGAAGATTGCGCTGTTGGTGGAAGGCGGGGAGCTGAAGTCGTTTGTGGAGAGGGAGATGGAGCTGTATCAGGGGCGGGAAGCTATGGAGTTGGTGGAGAGCGGGAGAGTGAGGGGAAAGGTGGTTCTGAGGGTCAACAACTATGATAGATAGGGATTCCGCAGTCCAGTACATGGGACAGAGCGGCCGGGAACATTTCAGCGGGGAACGACGGCATCACGAATGGATGTATATCAGCTCAAGGACATAGCTATGTATATGCAATATTATCATCGTCCATCATATACAGAGGATGAGCTGCGTCGGAGATTGCACGGGGCTTGACAAAGGTAGATCAATAATGGCAATAATATAGTAAAAAAGGAAGGTTAAATACTAATATATCATTGAGCAGGGCCTGAGGATTGTGTCAGAAAGGACCATGGCAGGAAAACAACGAGATATAAAAAAGGTACAAACAAAAGCGAAGAAGTAGACGAAATAGAAAGAACCCGCTCCAGATATCAACCTAACCGTTTAGCAGTGTTCGTAAATAGCTCATCTCCCCCCGGTTCCAACAGGCCAGCTTAGCGTATAAAGAAATGATATCTCGACGTTTCGCCCAAATTAAGGAGCATGGAAGAAAGCGTGGGAGGCGCGCAGCGAGAAAAACATAAAGGAATCTGATTAATAGATGCAAGCAATATTAAAGACAAATACAATTGAAAAGACGAAAACGAAGCCGGTATCGAAATGGGAAGTCATCAGGAGGTGATCGGGAGCGAGGGACTAGAGATGAATGCGAGAAAAGGAGAAAATGAAAAGATAATAGATGCAAAAGCGAAGTGAAGCAGAAAGAAAATATGACTGAAAAGAGGAAAACTTCAGGCGGTAAGGTCTGTTTGATTTCGACGAGAAAAAGTATCCGTCCTGCTTTTTACAAATTTCGGTGCGTTTCTTCTCCCTCGTTCCCTCCCACCAAACCATCTTTCATCATGTAAGATTCGAACAAAATATGAAACGGCGTGAGCGTGGAAACTGATGTCGAACAGGTGGGGATATTGGAGAGGAGGACGCGGGTAGCTACATAACACAGAAGTGGCTTTGAATGGGATGGGATTGATAGGTAGATGGATAGATCGCGGGTAGAGGAATAGTGAGGCCTGATCGAATATCCGGGGTTAAGGGAAAATAAAGCTTGGCAAAACGGTCGCGATAGCTTAGAGAAGGGAATCCAGTCGAGTAAATACGTTCAAACACGCTGCTATCACCTATGCCGAATTGTCAAGTTAGTCCTAGAAACACCAGAATCCGCAACTAGATAGAAACTGTAGGGGTGTCGAACGGGGAGAGAATCTTTTTTTTGACTTACCTCTAGTTGAAGCTCCTTATCCTTTGCCTTCTCCACCTCCTCATTGACCTCTTGGGCCAGATTTGCCCCAATCCCTTGCGAACCACCTGTCCGCCGCGCAAACGGCCATTGTGAATATTCAGACAGCAGTTCATCAACCTGTGCAAAAGCCCTCTCCCGCGCCTCGTGGCCCATGGTCACCAGCGCGTTTTCAAGAACGTTAGCAGCATAAGCAGCACAAACCATTGTGATAGTGCGCAGGTATCTGAACTCAATATCTTCAGGGAAGAACTGGTTTGGCGTGAGAATGACGGTACGGCTGCTACAGATGTTGCGGACTCGTTTGTGGATTTCGTCCTTGGCGCCGGTATCTGCAACAGGATGGGTGGCCATGTCGAAGAGGAGAAAGTTACGTTTTTCGGTTCGGAGGATACCCTTATCCACCAGCCCTTTTGCCAGCCGTTCTCTGACTTGCTTCAGCTGGTAGCCGATTTTCATAAGGTTCCAGGTTTCACCTATTTTGAAAATAGCTATTAGTATTTGTTTTCCCTTCTAAATCGCATTCACTCCCTTCCACTGATAGTTAATTCTTGGACATGATGGCTATTGGGATATGAGTGTAAGCCCGTACCGCTTAGTAGATCGATCCAGGAGCTGACGCTCATTTTCTCACTTGACTTCATCATCTTCAACGTCTCGTCCAGCAAGACTTCTCCGGTTAGCGAGTCGTCGATAACTTCGATTACCCGGTCGGCAAGGGGGAAGCGTCGTCTTGATGAATCCTTTTGCATGCTGATGCGGCCACGGAAAGCCAATTCGATAACGATGCATCCTCGTAGTGCGTATGAAATGTTCTCGTTCCAGAAGGAGAGATATCCCTAAGCAAAATCACAATAAAAGTCGTGATAGCAGCTCCATGGTCAGCTTCTATAGTATACAACTACTAAAAAGATCCCCAATCGAACAGCGGAACCCCATTAAAGGAGTCGAGAGCCTTGGTATCTGGACAGAGACAGTCCCCGAACAGACACAACGATACATACCTGCTTATCCTTCAGCCCCATCAACAACACCTCTTCCATCAACGTAAGTTTCGGCTGTTTATTCCTTTCATCACTCTCGCTGATATCCCGCGGATCGAAAGCGATTTTGTGCCCACCATTTTCGCCGCTGGAGGTGAACGATGTCTCCGGGGTGCGGCTGTCGAAAGTAGCCGAGCCATTTAAGGGGGATGGGGAGGCGACTCGACTGCTGCCATTGGTGCCGTTGATATCGTCTGTGTTGGAACGGGCAGCTCCGCGACGGCGTGTCAGACCACCGGCAGAAGCCATGGGAGAGCGGGAGTGGGTCGAGGGCAACGATTGGGTTCAAGAAAGGTGTTGCGTCCTTCGAGTAGCGGGCGGAGAGAGGCTGAGAGGCTAGAAAGGGAGAGAGTGAGGGAAACTTAGAAGTTGAAGTCTGTGTGAAGCATAGGGCGTTTTTGCGGGGATTGGGGACTCGGAGGCGATATGGTGGTGGCTATAAATATGGAGGTTGTTCAGTTCGGTGAGGAGGTAGGTGGTGAGATTGAGCCCCAGCAAAAATTGTATTTCAAGGAATGGGCCAAGTTGGCTTGGGATTCCCGGGGGTAACTTACCGAGAAGCAGTAGGTGATGAAAAGGACACCCGATCAATTGGAGTATGGGGTAGATATGGCAGTGGATGTAGCGGTGCAGTTGAGAGAGGAAATTCTGTTGTCCGGCCGCGAGAGACAGATAATGCTCAACGCCAGAAGTTTATCTGGGTCGCAAGGTTGCCTTGGGTCTTGGCGCATCCTTGCAGACATGAGATGGAGAATATTGAATCCATTGGAATTATTTTGATGCAGAGAATTGACACCGTTGTCATTATTATGATTACAATTAATGTATTTACAGTCAATGGCCTATTACCGTACCTACCAGAGCATTTTCAGGAGTTTTGTACTAACCTGCTAAATCTAATATAAATTCCGTTGAGCAAAACATCTCGTCCTTGGAGTCGGTATTTCTCAAGCTGCTGCTTTTGCAATCTCTCTGGGGATAGACGCGTTTATGAGCAGGCTGTATATATGGTACATCGGTTTTGGCATGAGAGGAGATGAGTTTTCTTCTCTTCCACTACCGCTGATTCGGGAAGGCCAATACTGACGCTAAAAGCTGCCGATACTTTTTGCTATTTATAACAGGGTGAGTGGTGGAGCCGTTTGCCTTTCCTCTTTCCTTTTACATCAGCTCTACATGAATAGATACACGCTCAGGGTTGACGGGGGCTCCTGGTCTGCTTCTAGTTTTGCACAGGAATTTGCACATTGTGGAGGAAGAGGAGGGAAAAGAGATAGAATAAGAAAAAGAGAGATTGATGTACAGTACACGATATGACAAATGAAGAACGGGAACGGAAACGTAACGGGGGCCCCTTTAAATAAATCGAATCGCACGCACTCCTCCATTTGATATTACTTGCACACTCCCTTCCAACGCTGAGTGATAAGATGATGTATATATCCACTGCGCGTCAACCATTTCCAGAGTCCCCTTCATCTCGCTCATCATCGGGGTTTAATCTTTTAGTGGGCTGCAGCGAAAATAGTGAGCAAAAGATCTATGCATTCTCCACTGGGTATACCATTTATATATAAAGAGTGTGATGGGGGGTTACATACCATCAGGTTGGGAGCTAATATAGGTAACAGCTTGGTCAACTATTGCTAGTTAGTAAACGTGAATGTTGATTTTGATTTCGTGCGAATTTGGATAATATGATAGGCATATAGCAAGCGGAAACATACTGCTATGGATGGCATCGGCTTCCTTATCTGGGATTTCGATGCTGAATTCCTGTTGTATTGAGCACAGGTCAGTCACATTATATACCATACCCATTGATATCATGCAAGTAATATATGTCGATGACTTACCTCCTCAATGGCCATCACGACCTCGACGGTATCCAAGCTGTCCAATCCCAAGTCATTCGAGAAGTGCGAGGTGCTAGTAATCTTCACACACCATCGACAATCGTAAGTATCTGATATCCGTACCCCAACATCCACTGGGAGAAGCATGAATATTTCATTCATACCTTGGATGGATCCGAAACCTGAAGCACACGCATGAGTAAGTTGCTGCCATAGTATATAATATTGCAATAGAGAAAGAATCGAGGAGGGAAAGGCACCAAAATTTGATATCACATACCTTGTCAAAGTTCTTCAGCAAATCGACTATTCTGCCCTCAATCTCCGAGTGGGTTAGGCCAGCAGGCGCAGAATATGATCGGATGGCCTGGCAGGTGAAACATGAGGGGAATTGGGACTGGACTGCGCGGGCGGCAGAGAGCGGGCTCCTGGGGATCTGGAAAGAGGCCGTAGAGGGTCTGGTGATTCGAGGTATGGAAGAGGCTGCGCGCAGCGACCGGGCAACAGCGGAACGGAGCATGGTGGAAGGGGTGATATATATATAGGCTAATTAATGCAATGGCAGGTGGTGGCGCCGGATGAGTTGGGTGCGAAGGCGAAGAGAGCAGAAAAAAAGAGACTCGCGGGCTGGTGGTGAGCGATGTCAAATTGTTCCTCTCCGTGTTCGGATTTTGCACGCCAACACACCGCCAGCCAATCACGGGCCGGCAGAACACAATGACCGAAAAACATCAAAAGCGGCCAGATGCGATTTGCACCTCCAATTACCACCGCACCGGCATCTAACACCAGATCCAGCCGTCTGCTACCACAATGGCTTCCTCCTCCAAGGCTGTCTCTAGGCTTCTTGCCTACAAACGGCCTGCCCTCATCCAGATGTCCTCCCCGTCCTCCGCCCCCCAACGATCCACGAGCGTCAATGTCCTGATTCCTGCTTTCGCCTTTTCAACTTCCTCCCCTCGACCTGCTACTCCCGCCGGCCCTCCACGACAAGGCTTCCGCCTCCCGGCTCCCAAGGCTTGGGACCAGGGCGATGAATCCGCTCTCGACAAAGCCGGAAAATACTTCCTTATGACGGAGATGCTACGGGGCATGTATGTTGTATTGGAACAGTTTTTCAGACCGCCGTGAGTATAACCCGCAATTATCATACATATCCTATCCTGATATATCTTCAATTTTCTGGGGGAGCTATGTATTGCATGGCTATTTGTCATGGATATCCAATTGACCCGATAAGCCGCAACGGATGTCATACTAAATGCTAAATCTCCCGTAGTTATACCATTTTCTACCCGTTCGAAAAAGGCCCAATCTCCCCCAGATTCCGCGGTGAGCATGCGCTACGCCGATATCCTTCTGGCGAAGAGCGCTGCATTGCTTGCAAACTATGCGAGGCAATCTGCCCCGCTCTTGCAATCACAATCGAGGCCGAAGAACGAGAAGACGGAAGCAGACGAACCACCCGCTATGATATTGATATGACAAAATGTATCTACTGTGGCTTCTGCCAGGAAAGCTGTCCAGTCGACGCTATTGTTGAATGTGAGTATTTCCTCTCCTTTATCCTTTGTCCTCGGATGCGAGAACAGATACCGGATGCATGTGTTTGAGGTTTCATATAAGAAAATATATTTCCTAGAAAAACAGTGACAAATACATGGAGAAAATCACGAAGGTCTATATTACGGTTAGCTAACAAAAAATCCAACCATTTTCACTCAAAACAGCCCCCAACGCCGAATATGCGACAGAAACAAGAGAGGAATTGCTGTACAATAAGGAGAAACTGCTCGCTAACGGCGACAAGTGGGAACCGGAATTGGCCGCAGTCGCGAGAGCTGATGCCCCCTATAGATAAACAGATGAGCAGAAAGCAAGCGGGAGGAATGGGTTAGGAGGAAAGGGTTGGGTGATCAGACACACGCTGCAACCAATAGCCAAAACCCCTGGAGCTATTGATCTAGGCTGATACGGGTGCAAAGCACACACACACATACACAAAAAATAACCACAGTTTCATTTTCCTAACTTTGCTTGTCAACAGTACCCTGCGATATCAATGTACTTGTACATATTATTTACAATCCACGCGTTGTGTTCGTGCAAAGGTAGAGGCGGGCGGTAGGCGTGCCGTATTTTTTCCCTCCTGTGTGGCTGCTTGCTTACTTGCTCTAAATATTCTACTAATTGTTCTACTGCCGCCCTTTTCTTTCATACGCTATTACAATTCCTTATTTTAGACATTTCACCTCACTCTGTTATAATTTCCATGCTGTATTATCTAACTAACGAAACAGAATTTGATTCGCTTCGGTCCTTGTTTAAGTTAAATAACCAAGAAGGAAGGAATGCATTTGGAAAGAAGAGGATTATGTGGTATAATGCCTGATTTGACAGAAAAAAAAATCTCCAAGGTTATCTTACAAAAGTAGCACGGAATGAGTTTGAAACGGAAATGAGGAGAGAGAGAAGAGGCAGGAAAAATGCAGAGCTCTTTATGCAATACAGAATACTCGGCCTTCTAGATGTAATAATTGCGAGTTGGAAGTCAGTTGAGGAGAAAGCATAAAAGAGAACCTAGAAGCATCATAACGAATTCCACCTGTATCAACACCGTTCCTCCAGATCAGGGGAACACTATGTGCTTCGTATACCTTTGGTAGGTAGGCAATGACGGATACCAAATGAGAAGAGAAATCGACAAGAAAAAATGGTTAAATTGATCGATGAAACTCCTCGCCATGAACGAAGACCTATAAAATACCGATTTACAGTTAAATCACAAACAGAAGTGAAATATAAAATGGGTTAAGTAAAATCGGAGGTATATTAGCCTGGCCAAATCATCAAGATGAAGAAAATAAGTCCTCCTCGTCACTTCTCCAGTACAAACCCCGAAGCAAATAAACAACAAACTCATTCACTTCTTCTTCGCCTTGAACCCGCCCTCAAACCCTGGCCGCTTCTTCGCACCAGTAGTCTTCTTGCCACCGCCTTTCTTTTTGGCCCCTTTGGCCCCCTTCTCCTCCCTCCTCTTCCGCAAATTCTCCTCCCTCTTCTTCTGCCTCATCTCCTTCCCTTTAATCACACCTTCAATCCGCTCCTTCCACTGTTTCTCACTCTTCTTCTTCGCCCCCGTCTTGCGATTCAACGTCTTTCTCAACAGAGATATATCGTCCTTCACCCGCTCGCCATGTGCCCGCTTCTTCGCATTCAGCCACATATCCTTCTCTTCAATTTCGGCTCTCTTGGTCTCGTCCAGCCCCTCCAAGCGCGACTGTTTGGCCTCTAGCGCTTTCAGCGCCGTCTGCGCATCCTGCGGGCCTTTGCGCTTCTTTGCATTGATGAGCGTGCTTAGGCTGGGATCCGCCTGTTGGCCATCGGCGAACACGACACGGCCGAAAGACAAGTTGGTCGGGATCGACGAGATGGAGTCTGCTGGGGAGCGCGGGGAGGCAAGTAATGAACCGGAGCCGCGCGGGGAGAATCGTCGTGCAATGGCCTCGTCACGCTTCCTCTGCTCTTCCTCTCGCGCCTTTTGGCGAAGTTCCTTTTTGTGTGCTTTGCGCTGTTCTTCGCGCTGGCGTCTGGCTTCGATGAGTTCTTGGCGGTTGCGGGCAGGTTTGCCATTGAAGCCGTCGGCGTGGCGCGCGGCTCGTAGTTCTTCTATGCGCTTTTGTAATCGTTGCTTGAGCTCTTCGGGGGTTAGGCTTTTGGTTTTTTTGTTGATGTCGTTTGAGGATTGTGTGACAGTTTCTGGCTTGGTTGTGGCGTCGGTGGTGACTACGGGCGGGGCAATGGAGGAAATGGAGGATGTTCCGGACGGTGGGTTGGAAGGATCAAATTGTTGTGAGTTGGGGCCTGGTGATGATGGAGCGGTGGATGCTGGCTCCGCATCCTCAGTATTTTGCAGGGCTGAGAATCCTTCTATAGGAGCAATGTCTTCATCTACTTCGTCATCGTCGTCTATCTTGGGCGTTCCATTGAGCGTAGGCTCTTGGAGTTTTTGTTGCTTTTGGTGTTTTAGGGTATCCTCGTTCATATTCTCCTTGGTATCTCCTTGAGTACCTGACTTGGCCGCCTTCTTCTTTTCCAGCTTGGCTACTGTTTTCGATTTTTTCTGTTCCTTTTTCGCTGCTTTCTTTGCTGCTTTCTCTTCCTGCCGTTTCCTGCGGGCTTCTGCATCTTCACTTTTATCTTTGTTGTGGTCGCCTTCCGATTTCTCTGCTTTTCTTTGCTTTTTCGACTTATTTTGACCACGGATAAGACCCTCCATTGGTGTTTCTGTTCCTAATTCCCCATTGCTATCATCACCATCGGAATCTGATAGTGCTTCATCATTTTCACCTTCTTCTCTCTTCCTCTTCCGGGCATTTTCATCCATTACGTCTTTTGCAGTTTTCAAGGTATCAGGGTCAAGCTTTGCACGTTTGGCATTTCGAGCTTCCTCTTTCGTTTGCTTCTTGCGCTGCCATTGATCCTATAGTTTAAAGAAAAGGGCATAGGGTAAGTGGATATTCGCTTTCTGGGGTGGGATGGAAAAACATATCGAGATGCTCAGCAACTCTTACAGTGGTATCTTCTCCATAGTAATATTTTGCAGGAATCAACGATAGCAATCCATCGAAAGCCTGTGCATGACTCCGCAGCCGTTCCTATATAGATAAAAATATATAACCACCAGCATTAGCTTTCTGGCTGACACACAATATAAAAATTTGAGGCTGGTAGAGCTTGATAATCGACAGCGGACGCAGGCGAAAAAGAGTCAAAATCTCACCTCGAGACTGTCCGCCATGGCAATAGCAAAGAGAATCCGACACAAGATGCCAAAGCAAGAACCCTTCCTCTCTTGCTGGCAGGCCGATGGTGAAGAAGAAGTCCAATCGACAACGCACTGGTTGGTCTCCAGGCTCTGCCGTGAAAAGAATAATTTGCGAGGCCGCAGGGTGTGGGGAAGAGCGAAATCTTGGCACGCTGATTTTCTCGGTTACGGATTTTTTTTCCTGTGGAAGTGCTTAGATAAGGCCGGGCCTTGGAGGGTGCAACCACCGCATTGTGAAGAATTCTACGGTTGGATATGTGGACATTCACTCCCCATACTGATCATCCATGCTCCTGGACTTTATGTACACTGAGGAAAGCGGTGTCTATTCTACTGGAGTGATTTCTTCGCCGAAAATTGCCTTCTGAGAACCCGTCGAAGTCAGCAACAGCATTGGCGCCAGCAGTTCAAGGTATCCAATCCACTATTCATTCAATACAAATACTTGATTGTTTCATGGTTGCACTGTTGTGATCACGCCCTCGTATCATGGATACTACATTCCTCAATGCAGCCTAAAATTCCTCGCGATGAAGTGGAGAACTGTTCGTCGACAATTTGGAAGAGAGCCATTCGTTCATGATACCTTTGGGCGGCAGGATATCCTTTGGCATCATGATGATAGTACGGCGCTAAGTTAAGCTTAGTTACAGGAAGAAGGTGGAGTTGGGAGTTGCTGCTCCGCACTTCGCAGCCGATCCAAAAAAAAAAAAAAAAAAAAAAAAAACTTATAAATGGGACATCTGGCGCATGCCTCGGATTGAGAGTGGGAGTCAATTACCAGCTACCTAACTTCCATCGGGCTTTACTTTTCAGTCTGCCAAGATGGCACTGGCTATCCCTCAGCTCCCAAGCGAACTTTGGGCTCGCATCGCATCCTTTTCAGATCGAAAATCACTCAAAAATCTTCGTCTCACTTGCCATAGATGTTCGAAGTCTGCGACTCGGGAGCTTTTTAGGGAAGTGAGGCTCACCGTAGGTGATCCGAGCTGCGTTCGATTGGAGCAGGTTCGAGCGCATGAGGAATTGAAGCAATATGTGAATAAAATCAACTTGGGTCTTCGCGGTTGGTCACCTGTAAGTTGGAATTGTCAGATGCTAGTTTTATTCTGCTAGACTTTTCAGGAAGAGGCCTCTGCAACTTAGGTATATGGCTTCATGAAGGGGTCTGGAAAGCATATTATCTCACACAAGCAACTGGGGAGACAGAAACGCTAGAACTAATGTACTTTTTATACATCCTGCAACAAGAAATTCCTTAAAAACTATCCTATGCTGCTCCAGGAGTGGCAGATTAAAGCAGACGAGGACCCCATCCTGCCAGGACGGTTCATAAGACTAGTTCAGAACCTGAAGATGTTCCCAAACTTGCGGAACTTGAACGTCCGGTTCGATCCTCGGTGTGGATTGGAACAGCCTTATAATTCACCACCACAATCTTTCGAATTTCGTTCTAGGATCATGGCGCTCGTTCTCTCTTCTTTGGTATCCTTTGCCCAGCCGGCGCATGCTCTGGGACTGCAAAATTACCAAAATATCAATCCGGATGACACCGAGACGGTTTCCATTCTCAAACAGGCGGTTGGTAACCTGCGAAGTCTGCGACTTGGTATACTTAACGAGTGTTGTGAAGGAAACGGTGAAATCGATCTTACAGTTAGTGATCCGTCTTACGGCACCCTGTGATGAATCGAGAAATTGATATTCCCACCTCATGCCTTTCATATCTTGCACCTAACCATGTCTTTCCTGTTCTTGTTCAATATGTAGTATCAACAAGCCCATACATTCACTCGCGAACTCCCTTCAGTCTGGCTGGAGCCCGCATCATCTACTCTCCGACACCTAACCCTCTACTCAACGCTATATTTCGGTTTCTACCCCAAACTCGACCTGCGGGACATCCGCTTTCCAAACCTCCAATCCCTTGCCCTAGGGAACTACAGCTTCGTCCACGACACCCAGCTGGACTGGATCCTCTCCCATGGTCCCACCCTCCAGCGGCTGTACATGGACGACTGCGCCATCCTCTACGAAGTCGGCATCTACGATAAGGACAATTGTTATCTATCCCCTGCAGAGATGCACCCTGGCCACAAACGGAACCTTTTCGGTGAGGTGCACGGCCGCGCCAGCTACTCCAAGCGCTGGCACGACTATTTCCGCGCGTTCCAAGAAGGGTTGCCTCAACTTCGCCATTTTCGGTTCGGTAGCAGTCCGGACTGGTGGGATAACAGTGGGATTCCGTTTGAGATGGAGACGGAGATCAGGATAAGGTTGAATATGGAATTGTATTTGGTGTTCTGCGATGGGTTTGGGCCTAGCCCGTATATGGATCGGTGGCTGGGCGAAAACGATGACGATACCGTTCCGTACCCTGAGTGTCAGGCAGAGGACATGGATGCGTTGGAGGCGCTGTTGAGCAAGACTGGGCAGGCGGTTGATCGGGCGGACGTTTTGGAGTGTGATTAGCGAAGATGGATGATTATACGGAATAGGAGTTGAGAGGGAGGATGGTTTTGTATTTGATTATATATTTTCTTTTCTTCGCCGACCCCAGGGGGGGTCTCCGGTGCTAAGGGCCAAGCATTTCCTCATGTTCAACTAGGAATCCGACAACATCTGTCTAATGGAATTGAATTGCATGACAGAGCTACTTGGGCCCCTTGTTGCAATACAGGGTCTTCCGCAATGCACGCATTTGGTAAGCGTGCTGATGTACTTATCGGATGATCATCGGACGGGCATAGGGCCGTGAAGTTTTCCCGAGTAATCGGGACCTCCTGAATCACTTTGTGATCGATCGGCCTAACCAGGCCCTGCAAGGATGCCGTTGCCGCAGGGTATTCCAGCAGGGAGCTTTCGAGCGAGCAACTCGGTTCCGCCTAGGTAAATTGTTGAACCGCGTCGAGTAACACCAGGTGCAGGGAGACGAAATATGAGAACAACAACCCTTTCCAAATCGTAAAAAGGAGAGGAAAGCAAAACTAAAGCACTCTTCAACAACTTCCTCTTCGATTCAAAAGGGAGCAGCAATCCGGTTCCGGGAACACATCTCGGGCATGTTGCCAGTGCAGCCCGCCGCCGAATGTCGTCAGGGGCGTTCGGCACAGCCACGATATCTGGGCAGGGCACACCCCGGCCCGGGGCTGAGCTTGTCAAAAGTTCATGGTCAGCCCTGTGAGATTGGAAAGCCAACCGCCTGCTGGGATTCATCGCAGTCTTCCTATTTTGGGGTGGAAATCAGTGACAGCTTAATTTAATAGGGCTGAAGGCGCGCGTACGGAGCGATGGTTTGTGACTTAGTTACTAACATTCCGGTAGTTGTTCTACAAGGCACGGCTGACGTTGTGTGAAGAGTTTCTTATGCATGAAGTCATGATGAGCGTTTTATATCAATTTGACTTCCAAGATGTTTTACTATGATGTCTATGCTCCTGGCCATCATCTTTAATGTGTCCTTGCAAAAATCATGATTGGGATATAAAAAAAGTCTCTTGAATTTTTGTGATCCAACCGTAGTCAAAACTTGACCCAAGCTCATAGTTGAATTTTACATCACAGTTTTACTCCATTTAAAACAGAATCCAATAGCGTTCAACGGCCATACTGCGCATAGGTCGAATTCCGGTAACCCACCTGGGCGGTTTAGAATGTTGGCATCATTGGAGCTTGTTCATGTATTCTTCATTTGTTCGCTTTCTTCGACACGCTGCTAGCCAGCCGGGTTTCAATTTCATAACCACCCTGGCTTTATGTTCCTCTTTACAGCGCTTTCCGACGCCTTTGGTGTTGGCTGCGGAGCTGCAGAACGATGTGGATGGTGTGAAAGAGAGCCGACACCCTGGCCGGTTGGCGCGATTGTCCGCCTGGGCTCTCCTTGTAAATTGCTCGTTTGTCTACGCTGTCTGGCCGTTTGGATACCCGCCGTTCTGGACATGACTCCATCAGAACGGTGTTCCGATTCGTCCGACACCGCACGTTTCGGTTTTCGTGCCGTCCACCATTCATTCTTCGTATCTCCAATATCCTTATTATGACGGCTCTGCAGGGGCTTTCAAAGCGTCGAGACTTACACCCGTCCCACCCGGCATCGGGCGCGGAACGAACCTGTGGGCCCTCCTGTGTAGACTTGCCAGGTACTGGTGCGTATGCAGGCAGTCCCCGCCGGAACAGGACACATGCAGATTCCTCCTGGCCCATCTGAGCGATGCCCATCAGCACATGTCATCGATCACTGCGCAGTGACCACACAGCCACAGCGTGATCGCAACGGACAGTCACGACGAATCACCAGCCGGGAAACGCAGGATACCGAGCCATCGCCAAGCGGCTAGGGCGGGGGTGGTCGAGTTCAGCTGCAAGCCCGCAACCCAAGCGTCATCACCGTTCGCAGCCCCAGCAGACGCTGAATCTGATGCCGGGGTCAGGAGTGGAGGAGTTGATGACCGATGCCCCGCCTTTCGTTGTGCCTTGGGGGCAGATCTTTGTGGTAGAATTCTAGATTGAGGCGTTGAGTCACCCTTAGTATATAAGGAGCAGGACTGCCCATGTTTCTCCTCTCGTTTTACCACCTCTTCATCATCTTCATCATCTGCATCAAACCCACTCTTTGCCTGCTATCCTTGCGATAACCCACATAGAAAGCCTCGTTCCTTGTGTCGATAATCTTTCTCCCGCCCCTTTCCCTCTTGATCATCCGCTGGTAATCGTCTGATCAACCATCTTCCAATATTCCGCCATCCAACCTCTAAACCAACACTCTCGACCCATCATCATCAACACCATCAACACCATCATCATGTCTGGTCCTTACGATAACCAGAATAATCCAAACTACTACGGCCAGGGAGGCTACCCCCCTCAGCAAGGCTACGGCCAAGCCCCACCTGACCAGTATAACCAAGGCCAATATCCCCCGCAACAAGGCTACGGCCAGCCTGCATATGGCCAGCAGCACCCCCCGCAGCAGCATGGCAACGAACAGCAGGGCTACTACGGTCAACACCAACAGCAACAGCCGTACGATCCCAACCAGCAAGGTTATCCACAGCAGCCACACCAACAGCCCCAATACGACAATCAAGGGTAAAAACCCTCAATCCCCTTTCCTGTCTTCTGTTTGACAAAGCAAGATATTTATCCTAAAAATCAGACGCTAACTTATGCTCTTCCCCACTGCAGCGTAGCACAACAGCATCAACAACAAGCTGGTGCCCCAGGTGGTGCGCAGGATGGTGAGCGTGGCCTGGGCGGTGCCCTGACTGGCGGTCTCGCAGGGGGCTTTATGGGCCACCAGGCCAACCACGGCATCCTTGGCACAATCGGAGGAGCGATCCTGGGAAGCATTGCTGAGGACAAGCTCAAGGACAATAAGAAGCACAAGCACAGCAATAGCGGTGGACACCACAGCCATGGAGGAAGCCATCACGGCGGCAGCCAGTATGGCGGCGGGGGTTCTTCGAACTTCCTTGGGTCTGCGGCTGGGTCGCTTTTCGGGAAGAAGTGAGCAGGCTATTGATATGTGAATTGTGAATTCCTGTGGATGTCCCTTAGATAGAAGGTGGTTGTGGTCTGTCGTTCGATATGTTGTACCGCATATCTTCAAATTTGTTGTTGATTTTCGTCCTGTTGGCACGTTCCCCGACTATATTCGCAACGTTTTCCTCTGTCTTCTTCTTCTCTTCTTCTTCTTCTTCCTCCTTCCCCTTTCCGTCGCTTTCATTTTGTATTCTTGTCACTTGCCGGCTGTTTCACTGTATGAACTTACCGGATATGATGGCTGTACGACAATAATGACTCTCCATCTTCGTTATTTTCTACCTGAAGAATTTCGATCCTCCGGCTACTAGTATCTGCTGTATTTGCTAAATTTTAGTTTTGACGAATCACCGACGATTTTCATAAATAAAATTGAATATTCATCGTTGTTATATGTCCTGACACATCTCGAGATAATTTCCCGCGTGTTTACAAAGGTAAAACGTGAAAAACTATTAACTATGTACGAAAAGAAATTGAAATTAAGAATGCTGGTTGGACGGTACCATATATCCAAAAATAGTTTAGCGTACAAAAGTTGCTCGTCCATATAATTTCTATCTCCAACCCGGAGCCGTCTTGGAGGTAAAATCTGCTGCCCATTGAGAGTCCCCCACCACACTTTCGCATCATGATAATACGGCGGTTTCTTGGGCGGCAAAGTGGGTGTTCAGTGTGCCATATCCTTGCTTGCTGTATCTGCGCTAACTAACAACTTCTCGCATGTAGGTCTGGCTCTGTTGAGACCATCCTCCCCCCGAACGACAGCATGCGGCAGGTTCTTCGCGACGGATGCAGACTCGATTCCTCCTCCGCCAGTTGCCCAGCGTACCACTACGAGCCAGACAGGTGACATCGCCACTGCTGTGCTGGATGCGAACCCAAAATCGTCCTTGTCGGGACAGACAGAGGAGAGTGCCGCTCTTCGGGCTGGTGACCCGGTTGAAAACCCCCAAAATATAGCTGAAGCATCGGGATTAGCACCAGCACGAGTTGCTCCCCGAAATATACCCTCTACTTCGCCGTCATCGTCATCATCTCCACTACCACAGATAGCACAGCCATGTATGTATAATCAAGAAGCAAACAAATTCCTGCTTGCCATGCTTGCCCCTGTCAATCTGGTCCTCTAACCCTCGCCCAGCTCCCAAAGAATTCCACAAACTCGGCTCCGTCCTCAAAGACCTCTATATCCCTGAAAGCCTAATCGCAAACCCTCCCCGCGTCGAAGACATAACCCTCAACCTCCTCCTCGCCTCGCAAACCCACCTCGGCCACGCTACGTCCCTCTGGAACCCAGCGAACGCAGAATACATCTTCGGCGTCCGGCAGGGCATACACATCATCTCCCTGGACGTGACCGCAGCCTACCTCCGGCGCGCCGCCAAAGTCGTCCGCGAGGTCGCAAGGAATGGCGGCCTGATCCTCTTCGTGGGCACGCGCAAGGGCCAACGACGCATCATCGTCAACGCTGCCGAACGCGCCAAGGGCTGCCACGTCTTCCAGCGCTGGATCCCCGGCAGCCTGACGAATAGCGAGCAGATCCTGGGCCACTGCGGCAAGCAGGTGGTCAATGCCTTTGACGAGCCGCTGCCGGGTTACGAAGCGCAGCTGGACTCGCTCCCCGCGCTGAAGCCGGACCTGGTCGTATGTCTGAATCCGCTGGAGAATCGGCCGCTGCTGCACGAATGCGGGCTGCATGTGATTCCAACGATTGGGGTCATCGACACCGACGCGAACCCGACGCACGTTACGTATCCGATACCGGCGAATGATGATAGTTTGCGATCTGTTGCGGTTATTGCTGGGGTCTTGGGGAGGGCAGGCGAGGATGGGCAGCGAATACGATTGCGGGAGGCAGAGGAGGGGAAGGTTATGTACCCTGTGAATGAGATCTTGGAGGATTGGAAGCCGAAGTCTGAGGGGATGCGGGAGCAGGAAGGGCTCATTAGTCAGTAAACGGGACGGGTAGGTGTACCAGTGTCTCTTTTATTTCTCCCTTTTATACTCTGGTCTTGGTATGCCTGACCCTTCCGGGTGCTGTTTCTTTCTACTGTAGAAAAGATTATGTATAAATAGGGTCTTTCTAGCTCAGATTTTTATTTTCGCTTCGCTTGGTTATTAATTTCTCCATGGCCTTTTTCTATAATTTCTCTCTGAAAATTTTGCGTCCTCTTCCTACTTATCGCCCTCAGAGTGAAATGATGTGGTATGAATCACCGCCTTTCTTCTGTTTTCCACAGACAAATAGGAACAATAGGGTAGAGAATCCCTTCAATACCATTCCAAGAAACGATCTTTTGTCTTCCTAAATCGCCGTAGCGGAACCTTCAAAATTACCTGGGAGAGCCTGGAATCGTACAATATGTTGTTGGTTACAAGAACTTGAAAGCTTTGTACGTGATATGATTGGCTAGGACAGGGTATCAACAATCGGCTCCGACGACCATCGTTTTCTCCACCATTCTCGGTTTGCTTCCTTTGCCATTGTATACGGACGGAAGAAATCACTCGGTCTCCGCTATATGTGATAGCGGCTTGCGTTCACCTACATCAGTCATGCAGGATACTCTCGCGATGATAATGAAACCCAAGGCAAGGATGGAAGGAGGGTCTCCAGATGATAACATCCGCCCGCCATCATCGCCGTTTTATATTGGGCCAACTTCAATATTTGGAGATCGACACTTCCAGAAAGCTCAGGATCTATCAAGTTCAGTACAGAGAATTTCTTAAATATTCTAATTGGAAGAAGAAGCTGCTCCCTTCTTTTCTATCCAACCCCTAAATGGCATCGGCGTCAGTGGCGAAAGATATATTCCCGTCAATGCTGTGGTCGTCCTTGCATTTTACAACAATAGATGGTCCTATCTGCGATCGTTGTTTCAAGTCAATCGACTACCTTCAGGGCTTTGTCTTCTATTACATGCGCCCGAAGTCTATAGGACATATACCAAGACACAGTCATCTGCTAGTATTCCTGGTGCTGCAGCTTCTTCCGATTGTGGGTAAATAATTTGGCAAGCTCCGTTCTGGCCTGGTCGTACATTTCCTCCTGCCATTGGATGGGAATACGATGGCAGGCGGGCGACAAGAGTTCGAAGCGAGAATATGAGCTTTTGGGAACATGGTCAATATAATGCTTCTGGGTAGCTAGGGCCAAACGTTGAAATGCAACCGATTACTCTCCGTAGATGTTGCGGGAGGAAGAGACGGAGCTTCTGAGTCCAAGAGAGCAGTATACGCCGTTTCCTGGACGGCTCATGCGTGAAAGTCTTGAGTCCATGGTGGTAGCACCAAATGGTTTCATAGCATGGAAGCTCCGCCTTTCGCCAACTGTTTGGAAACGCCTGGGAAGCTTGATTATGAGGACGCTCGATTCAGTCCCCATACTGAGTCAAAGATTGTTTCCTCCAGGTTGCTTCCTCTAGGTTGCTTCTTCTCAGCCTTCGGCACCATCACCAAACATTTCCTGAGACCCTGCTGAATTTCCAAGATTTCTCGAGGAAGACACAAGAATCCAAGAATCCAAGAATCCAAGAACCTAAGAATCCAAGGAATCCTCCAAAATCTACCTTGAGCCTTCCGCTTCAGTTTCCGGATTTGATGCCTAATTGGCAGTCTCGGTCCCGTGTTCACGCGAACTTGGCGCGTCTGCCAAGCGCCGGGAAAGACGTACTGACACAACGAGCATGGAGCCAAGAACGATGCCATTCGTTGGTATGGACAAGGACGCGTTGCTGCCTGGGTCCAAGAAAGGTCGCTCTCCCCTCGATGGCCAGAATGACGATACAGAGTCGGATTTCGGGGCATGGAAACAAGCCGAAAGATAGGTTCCAAGCCATCTGGTAACGCTGGAGGGGCAGTGGGAGGGGTGCAGCCACCGATGATATAAAGAGGGAGGATGGAACGAGAAGAACTGATGGAGGAAAAGACCAAGACTGAAGAGTCAAAAAAACAAATCCATTCGAACTCTCTTCTCGAGCTGTGATCATCGTTTGTTCATTCTATCTCAACCGCTCAATCACCCGAGCGCTTGCCAATACCTCTCTCAAGCCCAACCTGCACATCGACAATGGCCCCTCCAAACATATCCTTCACTGTCAGTCTCGCCACTACAGATATTGCCGCCGCAGAGCGCTTCGGAACAGCTCTCGGCTTCGAAGTGAACGCATGTTATGACGCTAAGACAACCCCTGCACCTCAAACATGGTGATTCCTTCAGCATCTTCTACGGCACCCATTCCGTCTTTGGCAAATTCCTCCCATCCGGTCGCGAGATCGCCTGCACCAAGACTTCGCACGAGACCATTGTGACCCTCATGGTTAACTCCAGAGAGGAAGTAGATGCGCTAATTAAGAAGGGGCTGGAAGCAGGTGGGACGCCAGGTCCAATTATGATACCGGAGAGTTGTGCTGGCGGACTCTACACCAGGAGCATGGAAGATCCGGATGGGCATCTTTACGAAGTTGCTTATTATGATGAGGAAACAACGGCTGAAGCAGCAGAGCGAGGTGGGAAGAAAGACGAGTGATGAACACCCTTTGGGCGACATGGAGAAGTTTGGTGTGCTTGTGTCCTTCATGTTCCTTAAACATCATTTTCCGGGGCGGGCAGGGATTTCCGCTTTGAGAAGCATGGTACTGCAATGTCTGGATCAAAAATTTAGTATGAGAAAAATTGCTCTGAACTTCGAATGATCTCCTAAATTTTAATTCACAAATCCCCGTAATACATACAATGTCTTAGATCGAACAGATGCTTGCCAAACTCACAAACTCTATCATCCTCCTAAGATTTGGTATCGCCAGCGTGTAGTTTCACACGACTCTCAAGTTTCCCTCCTCATAATTCCCTGTACAACATTTCATATGTTTGGTAGATAACTTCAGATGCAGCACTAACTTGGCACAACATTGTATGAACGGTAGACATGTCTGATAAGGGCAAAAAATAACCAAATGTCTTGGATGTCACACGCAAATGGCAAAAACGCCGTGTGTATGTATCGACTGAAGTGGACGATGCCTGTCAAGTTATTCTCAGCAAAATCCACAAGACAGGTCTATTTGCATTCAAGACAAAATGAGGCGTAGGGTATAATACAGTGCAATGCAATAATATATCGGTAGGAGGTGGCGGGCAAAATCCAAAAAAGACAAAGTCTATATTTAGGAAATATTGAATCACGGTGTATGGTCGATTTGTGGCCGCAAGCTGGTCATCTAAAATGAAATACGACTGGCAGAAAAAAATTTTTTTTTATCCAAGAGCTCTCATTGCAAGTTCAACGCTGAATGATGAATGTTAGCGGCGCAAATACTTCTGCATAGAAGGCAGAGAGGGAGAAAGTTACTCACACTGCGAATGTTCCCGCAGAAACTGGCATTGCTCTGAGCAACGTTGGTCCGATTCCCTTCCAGAACCCGCCCAATCCCTCAGTCACAAAAGTTTTCTTGAAACAATCGGTCATCCCCGCATATTTCTGTTGGGCTCCGAATCCATCGCTCTGCATCTTACTCTTGATGACATCGAGAGGATAACTTGCTAGCCAGAGAGCTTCACCTGCAAGACCTCCGTAGGTTGCCACTTTGACGGCTGAGATCTCTTCTCGCTTAATGTTGTTGCGCTTTGCGTCCCAGTTCATGAGATATTCGAAAGTGAGGAACCAAACGCCGTAGGCTTGGGCTTCTCGGAATACGGTGACGAGACCTCCTCTATAGATACCCTTAAGAACGCCTTCATGAGCTGACAGTTTGCGGATGCAGTCGATAGGCCCGTTATATAGCCGCTGGGCGCCATGTGGTTGCGTTTGTAGCCGAATGCGGACATGCTCGATGGGCCCGGATATGACAGAATTGGTAATGCCAGCGAAAGCTCCAGCAAGATAGTATTGTGGGTAAGATAGAGATGTGTTAAGGGGGTCCTTTTTGGCGTTCAATTCTTCGAATTGTCGCCGTGCTTCATGGAAAGCTCCGAATTGGACACTGACCTAGTTCGTGTTACCGCGAGTTAGTTAACGAACTCCACAAAGTGGAAAATATCCCTGTAGGCGACTTGGGAAATTTTCGTTGCGGAAGAGCAAATAGACTCGAATACGCCAACTGAGGATCCTCAATATCGACATGATTTCAGCCGATGGAGATGCTTACACAGGCACCAATTCCGACCAATGGTGTTAAAGTTCCCTTGTAAAACGCCAACGGACCTTCGTTCTTCAAAATTTTTGTGGCACAATCGAAGGCGTTTGAGTAATTTGTGGTGGTTTGGAGTCGGACCTTGATAATGTCTGTGCGGGGTTAGTTGGGCGTGAGTCCCAATGTGCCGCAAAAACAAACACCTACCAAATGGTTGACCTGTGATCAACAATAACGAATTAGCATGCCGTATACTATAGGTTCTTCAATTGCTCAATTGGGAAGTAATTGGGTAGCCATCGAGATATCTCTCTCCCCTCCCTCCCCGTTAAAAAGAATACAAGCCACGACGACTATGAGTCCCGATTTCAAAAGGAGTGTCTGGAACGGCTAGGGAAGCCCAAAACTAACCAAGGAGAACCTGCGCAATACCGCCAGCAGCGCCGGCAGTGAGATCTTTCACTGTTCGCAGAGCGCCTCCGCTTTCAAGTTCGTTGACTGCCATCTTGTCCAGTTCCCGCAGCTGGTTGAATTATTTTTGTATACTCTGTATGCCGAGCCAATTGACGGAACAACGTGGGGAAAAACTCCTCAAAACTCAGAACGGGCACAAGGCGCACAATTATACCACTCGAACATTGACACCAACTCGCTGTCGAGGAAGAATACTAGTACGAGAAAACAAAAAAAGGCAGGATGGCGCCTCTGATTCTTATCTGCTTCTCCGCCGAAACTCTAAAAGACGTGATCGCACCGAGGCAAAGACTGCACCAAGCCGCCGAGAAAATAAACCTGATTGCACTAGGGTCGGTTTCCCAATAAAATGGTTCATATATCGCTCCAACTGCTCCTATATCGGGCACATTGGGTGTATTTTATCAAGTCCACTGTAATCAGGGATTTGCGCAAATCGGGCTTATACTCGGCCCGATAATTCCTGACGTAATCCGATTTCCTCCTAAAAATTTCCGTGGAAATGACCGAACTCGTAGCTGCGATCTGGATGCGATGGAAACCCAGGTTAGAGTCAATCCCTTTTAACCCAGGATGGTCAGGCGATCTGTTTTGAAGGTATGCTGGTGGATCTTTCATGATGGTGTTCAGTTTGCTGATCTGGTGCCCTAAAAGGTCTCGCGATGCCTGGACAGTTGTCACATCTGCTCCGCCTGGCGGAGCCTGACCCCCTCGCTTCCCACAGCCGGCGTTCACGGCGGACCGCGAAGACAATTCAATTCGACCTCTGGTTTGTCTAGACCTCCAGCTGCAGCAGAAGCCGTTGCGGAGCAATACGATGATGGCCCACACACCGGATCCGTTCAAGCTTCAAGGCCTGCTTTTGGCCGTCCCGGAGTTGGTGGTCGAGCTGGAGGAGCATTTGGTGGAGCGTTCGGCGGAGGATTTGGCGGAGGTTTTAATACTTCTTCGATCCCGATAGAGAATGGACTCACTGTCGAAGAAACGAAACAGCGCGATGCATTGAGGAAACAACGGGCAGCACAGCAACAGGTCGCAAGGGATGGAGGTTCGTCCACACGTACTACCACGCCTGCTCCCACACAATCCAAAATACGCTATGGCGATTTTGGGCGGAATTCCTCGTGGTCTACTCATGCGGAGAATTCCGGTCGCGGAGGGGAGGAACGCGAACGACGAAATGTAATCGGACGGAATCAAGAAAAACAGCCCGGGAACTCCCCTCGGATTACTCGAACAAATGGCTACAATGCTGCTCCACCATTGCGTGACCATAAGGGGGAGAGCTGGAATTGTCGAGTCTGCAGGAATGTTAATCCCGCTCCTCGTAAGGTCTGCCCTAGATGCGGCACCCCTGAAACCCAACCATCTTCTTTCACATCTACGTTGCCAACTGGAGTCACAAACGGCGGTCGTGGCAGTGTAAATCCCCGTGATCAGGTGCGCGAGGCACCAATAGTACGCAGAGTTAACATCTCCACTTCTTACGGGGGCGGAACCATATCTACAACGCCCAATAACACACTCGACGCTTTCTCGGGGTTCCGAAAGGGAAAATGGTCTCAAGAACAGCAAGAGAAAGAGGAATACATAGCATCCCAACTGTCCAAGTCAGCTCCTCCGAAGGAGCATCGGAAGCCAGAGGTAGATGAAGTCCTTGCATTAGAAGTTGATCCACAAGCGGAGGCAGAGGCGAGTGTAGACTCGAAATCAAAGAAAATCAAGAAGAAAGGGAGAAGGAGAGATGAGAACGATGACGAGGGAGAAGCCTCCGTTTCACGTGTTTCAAACGACCTGGACTATAATCGTGAACTTGAGCGTGCTGAGCGCCGTAGACTCAAAGAACTGAAAAAACAACATGCAAAGGCAGCTAAAAAGGATATTGAAGCTCCTGCGCCCATATATTTGCCCGAGTTTATAACGGTTGGTAACCTTGCCGATGTGTTGGGTGTTCGACCAGCCGATTTCTTGGGCCGCCTGGTGGATTTCGGGTTCGAAGAAGCCACATACAGCCATATCTTAGATGCCGAAACTGCAGGGTTAATTGCATCGGAATTTAATTTCACCCCTATTATCGACAATGCCGGCGACGATCTGGTAGCTGCTCCACCACCGCAGGATACTTCAAACTTGTCACCGCGACCCCCGGTCGTCACTATTATGGGCCATGTTGACCATGGAAAGACTACCCTTTTGGATTGGCTTCGCAAGTCATCTGTTGTAGCAACCGAGCATGGCGGGATCACCCAGCATATCGGCGCATTCTCTGTGACAATGCCATCCGGCAAAGTTATCACCTTTTTGGACACACCAGGGCACGCTGCTTTCCTCGATATGCGTCGACGAGGGGCGAATGTGACGGACATTGTCATCCTTGTTGTAGCTGCTGATGACAGTGTTAAACCGCAAACCATCGAAGCTATCAAGCATGCGAAGGAGGCGAACGTCCCTATCATTGTTGCCATTAACAAAATCGATAAGCCAGACATCAACGTTGAAAGAGTGAAACAAGATCTTGCTCGGAACAACGTCCATGTTGAGGATATCGGTGGTGATGTTCAAGCTATATGCGTTAGCGGAAAAACCGGGCAAGGCATGCTTGACCTGGAAGAAGCTACGGTGACGTTGTCGGAAATGCTTGACCACCGGGCCGAGAGAGATGGCAATGTTGAAGGATGGGTCATCGAAGCGACTACGAAAAAAGGCGGTCGTGTAGCTACTGTTCTCGTTAAACGGGGAACGCTAAAACCTGGTGATGTCGTCGTCGCCGGCACTACTTGGGCTAAAGTCCGAACGCTGAAAAACGAAGCGGGAGTAATAATTCAAGAAGCTCTCCCGGGTACTCCAGTTGAAGTTGACGGTTGGAAGGAACAGCCTCAGGCTGGAAATGAGGTTCTCGAAGCAACAAGCGAGCAACATGCCAAATCCGTCATCGAGTATAGATTAACCAGAGTCGAATCCAAGAAACTAAGCGAGGACATTGGTGCGATTAACAAAGCAAAAAGGGCAGATCTTGAAAGGCGAAGACAGGAGCTGCAAGCTGAGGAGGACGAAAGAGCCCAGTCCGCCGCTGATGCTGATTCTGGTCCGAAGGGTGTACCATTCCTCATCAAAGCTGACGTCTCGGGTTCTGTTGAGGCCCTGGTCAACTCGGTTTCTGCGCTCGGCAACAGCGAAGTATACGCACGCATTCTGCGGTCTGGTGTAGGCCCGATTAGTGAATTTGACATCCAACATGCTGCTGTTGCGAAGGGCCACATCATCACTTTCAACATGCCTGTGGATCCATCAATGGCTCGAATGGCAGAGGCAGAAGGGGTCAAGATCATGAACCACAACATCATTTATGAGTTAATTGATGATGTGAAGTCGAAACTTAGCGATCATCTTCTACCCACAATCACTCAACATGTCACTGGAGAGGCGGAGATAGGTCAGATTTTCGAAATATCAGGCAAAGGCCGCACGAAGATTGCCATTGCAGGTTCCAGGGTTCGGAACGGCCTAATTAGCCGCTCGCATAAAGCCCGGGTCCTTCGTGACAAAGAAGTCATCTATGACGGTGAGTTTAGTTGTTTTACAACTGCTATTATCTCTCTCTCTCTCTCTCTCCTTTCATCCTTTCGTTGTTCATTTCCTTTTTACCTCTCCTGTGGTCCTAGGAACACGCAATTGATATGTCTGGCGCTGACATCTTTTTAAACTAGGTATAATCACATCTCTCAAGAACGTGAAGAAGGACGTCACAGAGATGCGAAAGGGTACTGAATGTGGCATCGCATTTGAGAACTGGAACGACTTTAGAGTCGGCGACCACGTCCAATGTTACGAAGAAAAGTCCGAAAAGCGAATGCTATGATATGCCAAGAAAAGGAAAATTAATGGTCGTTTTGTTCGTTGATAATTGTTACGTGTTCCATCTGGGCTCGAGTCCTTTGAAATTTTTTTTCCCCCAATACTCACCCTTTGTACCATATCCAACTTCATATTTCTTTCGATTTTTGTCTTATATGCACCGGATACTATCGGTTTTACGTTCAAGGAGTTATACTCACCTCTCATCAGCCGATGCATTTGCGTCCCCAAAATTATCCACACACTTTTCCACGCGTCTAAACCGTCGGTGCACCGATCCAGCTCCCCTCTAACCTCGGTCTCGTTTTATTATTCCCGGACTCTCACCAAAATAGGCTGGGCAGTTTCCATTTACTTTCCATCGCATTGCTTTTCATGTATGGTTCACAGTGGAAAATTGGGCATTTGTTTTCGCTCCTCTTAGTTGGCGGGGAAGGTTGATATATGTTAATGGCGATAGATGGGTTGATCCCCTGGATAGATATTCATAAGTTTCTTTAGAGTTGAATAAAGAAAAGCAAAACATTTTTGCGAATTCTGGATATCCGGAGCATCTCTTTCATACATAAATGTTTCTTTCTATTTTTGCATACTTTGGTAGGAGAAGATACAAGGATAAAGAATTTCCGACAAACGTAAAATTACTGCAGCTTAACTGCTCAACGGATATAACACAAGGAACTGGTTCTTAGAAAATTCCTCGGGTCATTAGCCTGTTGGGCCAAAAATAAAAAATGAAACAAAACGAGGAGAGGAAACCATTTGACTGGCTGTTTGAAATGTCAATTGTTCGCGTTGCGCAGTGAAAATAAAAGTCCCTGACAAGCAAAACAAGCATAAAGAGACATAGAAAGCAGAAGAAAATCATTGAAGCTCTAATAAAACACACATTTTTAGAAACTACGCGAAACCATATGCATACAACGCAGCTTTACATCCGCTCTAAGGGTGATTGCCCTTCCCTTTGCCTTTTCCCTTCCCCATTCCCGGAGGTATAGCTGTTGTTTTATAAGCTTTAGTTTGCCGTGGCACCTACGTAATTTTGCGAAGATGTAACTAGTGTTAACAGCGCGGGCATCCTCACGGATTTTGCATGATATGTTTATTCATCAGGGAGATTAAAACGCACGCTTTTTTGCTTTTCCCCTTTACCTTTTTTGCTCGCTATCTGACTATTCTTCAGAACTCCCGCCGGAGTGGAGGTTTCTGGGGTTTTGAATCCTTCTTGTAAAGGAGATGGTGTGCTTTCATCGGCAAATCCGGCAGGCTCTTCTTTGTCTATGGGAATATCACTTTTCTGTTCATCTGGTTCGACGATGTCGGCCAACGTTTTTAATTCTCCCTCTGCAGCCGGGCATAGTTTCTTCTTTGCAGGAGCGCGGCTCTTGCGAACACCGGCTGGCTGCTTTCCTCCAGTCTTGGTTGCTCTCTTTTTAGTAGGTTTCGTTGGTGTGACAGCAGGCGCATCTGGCGTTCGGGTTTCTAGAGTTGGTGCGTCGATCTCTGAAGACGTCTCAAGATCCGATAGGCTTGGGAATCCTAGCCCAGAATTTAAAGGAGAGGATTCTCGAGATGATGATGATGACGATGGAGAAGCTGATGGCGATGGCGATATCAGTGTCTCAGCAAGAGACATATCGGGCTCAATACGTTTAATAGCATCTTTATGAAGGTTATGTAGGTCCTGCTGACCTAGCCAATATATGTCAAACGTATTGCTATGGACGACCTTCAACTTGTCAGCAATAATTGAGAAAAGTTTAGCAGAGTGGTATGTAGTTGTGTCTCCATTACCATCGAAACCCAGTCGATACGTAGGTCCATAGGAAACATCGACTTTTCAATCTCTTCTAAAATTTGCATTTCGATTTTTGCTCGCCGTATCTTGTCAGTTCTCTCGTCCGCGACATAGCTGGAGATGACACGATTGGCATGCGAAAGGTAGACTTTAATGAATAAGATGTTCTAAATTCAGAGAAGGAATACCTCTTGGTTAGCTTCTGAAGTATGAGAGAACAGGTGATAGGTGATAGGCCTAGGGGCAATGCATCAAACTCACGTAATTTCCTCCCATTTTGTGAAGATCGTAAGATTCAAATAAATTACTTATCGTTTAAGAAGTTTTTCCACAGGCGATCCACCCGGTATTCGCACCGAAGCGGATGTTCCAGAGGGTATATAGATGAACGACAATCTGCCAGCTGCGATGCGATAGCCGTTGATGAGCCACTGAGTTGGGTTTGAATGAGCAGACAAACGGCCACGAGGCAAGGTATAGAGGAGACAGTGTGTGTTAAAAGCGGATTGCAAGATGACAAAGGAAGAAAGATGAGAGCAGCAGAAGAATATGAAGATGTGAAGAGTAGAGGAGAAATAAACTAACATCCAGTGAATTCAATGCTTCACCCATCTAGGAGTTGAAATGAGCAGCTAAACTCTATTGATTAAAGAAAACACAGGTGGTTATTAAAACACAGCAAGCCAATCAGTGTTAGTCACTCCTAGATACCATTGACAGAGTGAAATAACAATGACTGGTATTCAAAAGATGCCAGGGAGCTAAATGAGGACCAAAAAGTAATTGCAGTCATTCATCCACATACAACACTAAGTGCCATCATTTGTCAATAGAGATTTAATATCTGTTGATTTTAGTGAAAAAGGATAAACAATAGGGAGTGAAGTTGCAGCAACCTCTTCAGCTCAACCCAGGGAATAACAAACAAGATGTGGGTCACCCGTTAAACAGGATATTCAAATGAGGGTCACCTTTCTAAAATCAAGGTGTTGTATGTTGGGGAAGAAGGGCTCATATAGAAAATATATCCATATGGCCAAGAAAAACCAACAAAAAAGAAGAAAGAGAAAAAGAAGGAGAAAGAGAAGGAGAAAGAGAAAGCGAACCCCAAAGCACGGTTGGGAGTAACAAGTAAATTATCACCAGCCTTTTTATGAAACCCAAAGTGATAGTCTTCATAAAAGCAAAATATAGCAATAGATAAATGGAACCTCATTGCTCATTTTGCTTTCCACCGGATTCTTGCAACCCAGTTTGCCCAATTCTGGACATCCTCCCTTTGCAAAATCAGCTCAACTGTGTACCACTCCTTTGCTAGCTCTTCATTAGAAGCCATTTTATGAACAAAGGAATGGCAAGCCCTGCAAAGCCAAGCGACACTATTTAGCATCCATTCCTCATGCCACTTCCTCTTGAGCACTTTGGCATGTACCTCCCGTGGTATCAGATGGTGGTATGTCAGTGGGATCCAATCGCGTTCACATATTTCGCAAGATGTGGCCCGCGTACTGGACCATTTTGGAGGGCTAGTCTGCACAGCTGAGATGTATCCGGTAAGGATTGGATTCAAGAATGTTGGGAAATCAGAAGGATCTGGTATAAGGCCATATACAGAGAGTGATTCAGAGACTGAAAACGGCACGGCGGCGGTTAAGCTGTCGAGCGTTGGACGCGGTAGTGGCTCAGCGTATTTACCTGCAAGCCCACCGCTGCCTTGAAGCGCGGAATAAGAGAGAGATTGTACTTCCTCTGGCAGGGAGTTGAATGCTTCTCCAGCAATATACTAGGTTGGCCGGTTAAGACTGTTCACGTAGGTACTAGTAGACCAGGGCACTTTGGAAGATGGGCTCATACATCGATGAATTCTGCTAGCTCTTCCGGGCCATAGGTCTCAGGCTCAGCTAACGGAGGCTTCTCTGAGTTATCTGGCTGTGAAGAAGCTTTCCTTTTCCGCCGCAAGGGAGACTTTGAAGGGCTGTCGGTTGATCTGTGAATGAGCGCCTGGGAGACGTACTCTCGGAAGGTTTCATAATTTGGATTATGCACGGCAACATTATCGTTCATTGACGCGTATTTTAGACGAAATAAACTGAATCCTGAGAGGTAGAATTTTATTCTACTTCGCTTGCAGTTGTTGTTTAGGCGGGCAGCGGAGAGAGTCGTATCATTTATTGCTGAAGACGGCTGTAAGTTTGTTGGTCTGGCCCCCCGCATTCATGATCAACTCGATAACCAAGGCCACAATGCAACCAGCGTCTTGCTGCTTCAACGTCAACACACTGGCGAATAGAGCATGATATTTACGTATTGAACTGCGACCTGGTGAAATATGGCTTCACCAAAAAGAACCGTGCTTGCGTTTGATCTCTACGGCACGTTACTATCTACAGAATCCATTGCAGAGAAATTGGCTGAGTACTTTGGCCTTGAAAAGGCACAGAGCATCGCGGGTCTCTGGCGGCGGTATCAGCTCGAATACACTTGGAGGCTAAATAGCATGGGTATTTACTCTCGTCTTGAATCTTGCATGACGATGTTTGATGGAACGAGACTTATGCTTACGCACGGTTCTAGGACTGTATAAATCATTCTCAGAAGTGACGAGGAACTCATTGCAACATGCGCTGGCTGAGCATCAGGTAGATCTGGACCAAGACTCCACACAAAGGCTTATGGAGGGTTACGATTGCCTATCTACCTTTCCAGACACCCCGTCTTGTCTTTCGAGGTTGGCACACAATCCCAGCTTGATGCCAGTAGTGTTTTCCAACGGGACAATTTCCATGATCTCAAATTCAGTCCTACGGTCCAGAGACTTATCACCCTACGCCAGCATATTCCGCGATATCATCTCCGTCGATCCTGTCAAGAAATTCAAACCGGCGCCAGAGACGTACTGGCATCTAGCCGATACAGCTGGCAAGGACAGGTCGCAAATGGACGAAATGTGGCTTATTAGCAGCAACCCGTTTGACGTAATGGGGGCGGCTAACGTAGGAATGAAGACAGCATGGGTTGATCGGACAGGGTTGGGATGGATTGATTCGATGAGCGGAGAAGTAAGGCCATTAGTGGTAGCCGGAGATCTCAATGAAGCTGTGCGGGCAATTGAGAGCTGCGAATATCAATGAAAAGGGAAAACTCTTCGAGCAATATAAATTTGGGTGCAAACAATGGCTTCTGCTTATCTTTGTCACAGCCAACAGAAGGAAAATTGTAACTCGTAGAGGGAATGTATCGCTGCACATATTTCCAAATTGCTCCATGGAGTAAGGTTGAACATTCGGGGTAAGTCACCAGCGTTCTCCATTATATTCCCTCCAATTTCCCCTCCGCCAATCCATGTAGAAGGAAGACAGAGTGAATATGAAGGGGTGAGTTTTATGTTGGGGAGAGAAAGAATTTGCGCTGGTGCAGATTTCCTTTTGTGGTCGAATTCGGAGGGTTGATTACATAAATAATGTGTCATCACCATGCTGGTCACGTTTTAGTGCCGATCTAAACTCAAATCTGATGACGCTAGGCTATAAGAGGCAATTTCCGTCTGGGCACATTCCGTTATTTCCAACGTCATAGCTAACCCTAACCTCGGAACATTGGAGGCACCATCAACCACCTCTACAGGGGAAATATAGAGAGGAGCGTCATGGACAGCTCACTCATGACTTAGCGCTGAAAGAAAAGATAAAGCACTATATGCGCGCCCATCAGGATGGTTTCGCTCTTTAGCCTGAGCCAGGCATCTTGGTTCTATCCTTTACGAGTAAGCATCATCACCATCCAACCTAGTTATCCGAGCCTAAGACAGCTTACAACTTCTACTTCCAAGCAGGGCATAATATTCTTCATCTGCCACCCTTTCCTATGGCCGCTATTCCGCGCTCGTCTATTCTCCATTTCTCTCCTCTCCGCATTCATTTATACCATCCTATTCACCCTCACCTACCTCCCACAAGTTGCGTTTCTCGCCATCTTCCAAGGCACTGGCGCCTGGGTGAATGGGCTATTCCTCGTCCTGGGGGAAGGTGCCGCGATTGTCCAAATCCTTTTTGAGGCCTTCTTCGTCGATGAAACTCTCGTCGATGTCTTCGATGCCGTCCTAATAAGTCAGGGTGAAGAGGACCTTGTTGCTACCTCGCGGACCATTCATCCACGCGCCGACCAAAGTCAAGGTGGAGACGGTGATGGTGACGGGAACGGCAACGGGGATGCTGCTCTGTCGCTAAATCCAACACAAAGGCTGGGTAAGCCGATTACGAGTGCCATATATGCGCCTTTCTCTCTCCGGCAGATTGTGGAGTTTATCGTGCTGCTACCGCTTAACTTAGTCCCTGTGGCCGGGACACCGATGTTTCTGATCCTAACAGGTTATCGGGCGGGCCCCTTGCAACATTGGAGGTATTTTGAATTAAGGGGATTTAATAAGAATGAAAGGAAGAAGTTTGTGGCGAAAAGGAGGGTCAGATATACCTGGTTAGTTCCCTGTCGGAATTCTAATGCTCCAGCCAACTCCTTGTCTCTTTTATGCTGGCTTCTGCCTTGTACACCTACCTACATTGGTAGGTATGCATGGTTTTCCCATGCATTATTCCTTTACTTCTGGGAGCTAGTGTTCCTTAGTCCCTGTTCCATTACACGACGATTTTTTTTTTTTTTTTTCCTCTTTCGGGCTTCCTTTTTGGCCTATGTTTTCATCACTCACAATTACTCTCAATATTCGACATTTATAGGTTCGGAACAGTTGCATTAATCCTGCAACTGGTACCCATGCTCTCCATGCTCTTCCTCCTCACCACCGCCGTTGGTTCAGCTCTGTGGGCTGCGGATTTCGAGAGGCGTCGACGAATTGCAATCGAGCGCTCAGAGGCAGGGCGTCATAGCGGATATCGCACTCTTGTATAGTCCAACATCCACACACATCATCTTACCTTCCTCTCCATTTCTTCTCTTTCGGGTTTCGTTTTTTGTCCCGGGTGTTTCGGTATCGGTAGACTTGGAGGAATCCTTTTTGGATTTGATAATATGATCATTTACAGTGAGCATATAGCGTGATACTTATACACTGGGTTATTTTTTGTGTATGCTTTCTTTTGCTTGCTAGACTATGAGCGTTATGTGCTTCCTTTGCTTTTCCTTACATATGACCTCTTTCGATATAATTAAAGACAGATATGATATGAGAGACTATAACCACTGCTTTAGGATATTGCAATTTCCCCCAAACTGGGATACACGAGGACGAGATATTCCTGGAAAAATTAGAAGACCATTTTAAAGCAAGTGAAAAGATACCATATAAACAAACGATATCAGAGAGAAAAAGGAGTTGTAACTGAATATAAGTGTTTTTCATGTTTGCACTGGGTAGGAAAGCGTTTTATGTATAAATTCGCCTTCCGAACAGGCAAAACCCCTCAACTAAACCCATGTCTATAATCACAGACAGGCACATATCCCAAGACACAACACCTCAAACAGCCCAAGAGCCGACAAGAGGAGACAACCTGCGGCTTTTTGGACTCATCCAAATAATAGATCATCTGCCGCCCTCGTGAGGACACCAACTAACCCTCCACCTTCTCCTTTTGGATTTTCCCCTACAGTGAGAGGAGCAACGCCCACACCTTCATTTTCCTTGTCACCGTCATGGCCGTGGCCTTTGCCGCTACCTCGTCCACCCCCTCCGTGTCCGCCGCCATTTCCGCCGCCATTTCCGCCGCCATTTCCGCCGTCATTTCCACCACCGCCTCCATTAGGAGCATCGGCTGGAGGGGAGGGGTTGGGTGACTCTGGGTCACCCGGTGGCGGTGGTGCTGGCTCTCTTGGGGGAGTCTCAGTTGGAGCTGCCTGCGGTGGCGGTGGAGGCGGTACAGGTGGTGCGGATTCTCTTGAGGGAGCCTCAGTTGGAGCTGCCTGCGGAGGCGGTGGAGGCGGTGCAGGCGGTGCAGATTCTCTTGAGGGAGCTTCAGTTGGAGCTGCTTGCGGAGGCGGTGGAGGCGGTGCAGGCGGTGCAGATCCTCTTGAAGGCGCCTCGGTTGGCGTTCCCTGGAGAGGTGGAGCAGGTAGGGAATGTTCTTTTGGAGCCGCCTCTGTCGGTGCTGCGTGTGCGGGCGGCGGTTGCGCCGGCTGGGCTGAAGTAGAGGTTTCTCCTAACATTGGTTCCGGAGAGTACATGGGGTTGCAAGCCGTAATGTATACTGTGGTTGTCACCATATGTCCTTGTTTCACACTTCCGGGTTGTTCTTGTTGAGGCTGCTGTTGCTGAGATGGTTGTTGCTGAGGTGGTTGTTGCTGAGGTGGTTGTTGCTGAGGTGGTTGTTGCTGAGGTGGTTGTTGCTGAGGTGGTTGTTGCTGAGGTGGTTGTTGCTGGCTTTTGGGGTTTATTTCAGGTGCCGTTGGTGCAGGCGCAGGTGCAGGAGCAGACGCCGGGGTAGAGTTGATCGACGGTATGACCACTGCCGACACAAAAGTCTTTGTGAGATGGATGGTGGTGGTGGCTGTGTCGGTGGTCTGAGGAGACAATTCTGTGACCTGTGGTGTTATAGTGCTCAGGACGGGATTTGCAATTGGGTTTATATCTACGTTGATACCAGGTAATTTGAGCCAAGGAAGTGGAAGAGACCAGGGAAGCGAAAATGGAAATGGAGATAGAGCGCTCGTTTTGGCGGGGGAATCCTGTCTATTGTTGGCACCTATGTTTTCGGTTGCAGGAGTAGGGGTAGTTGCCTTTTCCGCTCGCGTAGCCGGAGCCTGTGTAATAGGGTTGGGCGGTGCGATTTCAGACGACACAGCTGTAAGAGGCATGATGGCGGGAAGCGTGAAAGCATCACCTCGATCAGGCGGATTAGAAGGTGGGAGAGAAGGGGAGATGGGAGGTGGTGGAGGCGGTGGGGGAGGAGCAGATGCAGGAGGGGGAGGTGGAGGAGGCGGTTGGGGAAGAGGAGCAGATGAGGGAGGCGGAGCCGGAGGAGCCGGAGGAGGAGGGGAGGAAGGAGTATGCGGAGGTTGTCGAGTGACTATCACAGTTTGTGTGCTGGTAATCCCATTTGCGCCCAAATCGGTTGGAGCGGTTGGCAGGTCTATACTAGGAATAGTAGGGTTCGCGGATGGTGGAGTTTCCACAGTCGAGCAAATGGTCGTTGAGACACTCTGGTCATTTATGACCACGCAGGCCTCATTGTACCTGGCTAGTCTTTGTTCGACGACATCACTGACATCGAAGTAGACAGCACGTCCCTGACGAGGAGCAGGGGATACGGCAGCTGTCCCGGGCGAGAGAGCACTTATAGCATTCGCAGCATTCGCAAATGGAGATAGGTCAGAGCTTTGCGAGCCCGGTGGAATCGGCCCCGCAGCGGTGAACAGTGGAAGGGTCAGGATGCAAAGAATGGAATAGTCGAAGCGCATGTTGTACAAATGAAACTAGCAGTAGGTGTATCTTGTTACTAGGAGGCGGAACTTCTGTGGCCGCGTGCCTATACAGTTAAACAGTGGATAAGGAATGGTGAAATGCCGGAGCCGAAAGGATAAAACGAGATGCTTCAGCGAGTGTGTGGGTATATTTTTTATTAACAAGAAGACAACAGAAAGAAAGTCGTAGAGAACAGGTCTAAGGAGTCAGAGCAAAAGGAGGAGATTTCATGACATGGCCATGAAACAATATTATATGCTCCGAGGACAGGAGCTGGAAGAGGACGAATACCCCCTTAATAATAGTCGTTCGGCCAGGGGAAAAGGACACTGGATACAGCGGGAGAACCAATACCATAAGTTACTGCGAGCGAGGACCGACGGCCATTCACCAACGACAGAGTCTTCGTCCCGTAACCCAGAGTTTAAGTTGTGGGGAGGCGAAGAAGTATGGGCCCGGAGGGCATAGACTTTGTTTTTGTGGGCGCCATGGACAATCCTGAATAACACTGTGAGTATGTGAGAGTTGTGTGGGTAGAGGGAGGCATATCACGTTAGTTATGGTCATAGCTATTCGATCAAGGCGGATCAGCGTGGCTAGATAGATCAAAGGTGTTTCGAACAACACAGAAAGAAGATGTGGGTTATGTTGGAAGTATATTCTGTCGCACAGATTGCTGGTTGGAAAGCGGGGAGGACGGGAGCGTTGACAAAGAGCGGATGTTGCGCACAAGAGGCACAGCGCCATTCAAACGACTAGCAGAATGGGGCCTAAGATGAGATGAAACAGTGCAGACAGGAGAGAGACCGAAAGCTCTGGCTAAACAAAGCAAAAATGAAGAGAAAAGGAATCTACTAGGACAGAATTCGAAGTAGAAAATGATTCCGCTAGAGGGCCTCAAATGGCTCTTACACGAGTTCTGACCTATTTAATCCACGGGCCAGCGTTGTCAACCTGGACTGGAGGGATGATAGAATAGAAGAGTACTAGACAACTAGACAAACCAGCTCAGCCAAACATCCGATTGACGTCGTCTGGTTATGCTAACTTTGAACCTTAAAAACCAGACCAAGCTCGGATCACTGCAAGGCACAGGACATGTTAGTATATAACTAACACGCGCCGCCACTTATGAGTTGGTTTCTCTTTGCCGACTGGGTGTTGTTGGAATACATAAATTCTGCCGAAATCGGAGGAAAAATCCCTTTTCATATTTGCAAGATTTGGGGAAAAGAAGAACTAATTCGTGTACTGCATCTGTTATTCCTGCAGGCAGATGATGTTGCATGCAGAGGACATGCGAACGTGTTCGTGGACACGATGGAGCGTATTCGGGTGATTTTTTCAGACTCTTCGGTGATAGCCAAAGAAAAAAAAAAAGAAAGAAAGAAAGAAAGAAAGAAAGAAAGAAAAATACCAGTAGAATCAGGATTCTCAGGTCAGCAAATGCCACGATGCCACGAAAGCCTTCTGTAGATTGAAAATGTTGTTTTGTTCTCACTTACATTGATGTGGACAAAGATAATTTCGGAACAAAGAGAGAGGGGAGTAAAAAAGCAATTTCAAAAGAAAAAAGCCCCGAAACGGTGATTGTTGGTTAGGTTATTTACTGGCCTCCTAAGGATGCAAATCCTTAGAAAACAGTAGAAAACAATTTACATTTCTCACACCTGTACCTGAAAAGTGTCCCCAGTCCCTTCAAATTGTGAGATATCCCCGTTCAACTTCTTAGAGTCGCCGAAATATCGCATGCGATAGGTGCCACTCTTAAGTTTTCTCGGGTTCCCAACAGAATAGAAGTCGTCATCAATACGCCACTCAACGGTAACCTCACTGGTGCCTATAACCGGATTGACGCGCTTCCAATGATAAACCAACGTCCAGTCGAAATCATCCCGAACTACTTCCCAGCTATTCGACCCTGGTGCGGAATACTCAACAGCAGTAAATGTCCCTTCGAGCTTAAGGTTATTGCGTGGATTGGCGCCAATGAATTTTGTTTTAACAGTGTCCCCTGGCTTGTACGTTTTGGATTTTTCTGGGGAGGAAATAACATCCCCAAATGATTTTCGAATGGGTGCGGTGTCGTAGGCAACTGGAGTTATGAAAGAATATGATATGTCCGTATTAACTGGTGGGTCAGGCCCCATAGGGAGGGGTGGCAATTTTTTTCTAGAAGGCGTATCTCTGAGATATGGCAGATATGTGAGAGTCAGATTCATGTGAGCAGCTAGGGTATGGGGGCCATAGAGTGTGGATCCTCCCTCGTAACGCTGGACACTGTATTCTTCTTCTGTGGTGATATAATGAGTATAAGTATTTGCAGGGCCGCCCAAGACAGCAATAGGGTCGGAGATGCCGAGGATATCAGTTGCCGATTTGGCGATAGCGTCTTTCCATCGTCTGCCAGCCATTGTGCTGGCTTCACCGGGAGACACAATTATGATCATTTGGCCTACACGAAGCAGCTGGACATCTACAATGTTTGGAGACCAGGCGTAGGGTAATTGCGATTCACCAACGTCAAGAAGGATGGTTTTAGGCTCCTGGCATTTCTTCTGCTTTTCCGAAGGGGCGTGGAGGAGGTCTCTTGCAAAATACCAGAATGGGTTTTTTGTGGACCCGCCGGTTGCGTTCTGGGTGAAATCAAACACCCCAGGACCATCTGTGGTGCCTGCAGCGAATGAAAACCCAAGGGAGGCATAGCAAGTTTCTAGATCGCCACGGCCGGCATCAAGGGGAGACCTGAAAGTAAAGTTTGAAAAGTCCTTGAAGGTATGGAACGCGGCCACACTATCAGCTCCATGAATTTTAACGGATGTTGACTTCATTTTCACGACTAGGTCCTTTGCTGCTGAGAATTGTCGGCGACCGTTTTCAAAGCAGCTTTTCGTGCCCTGGTCCATTTCGCGGAAATAGGGGCCACGACCATGACAACCTGTGGTTTTTCCACCACAAGTGCTCTCTTTCTATTGCCTGATATTAGTAAATCTTTCTTAAAAATTAAATGGTTAGACTGGACGAATCATGAACATACGAAGGTGCACCGAAGACCAGATCCATCCTCACACCAAGCCCCAAGCGTGTTGGGGGATGTGTCTCCAACGTTAGATTGGGAAAAGCCGGCCACAAAGTCATCTGCATATTCGACATCACCCTTAACACTTCTCTCGAACAAGTACGCAGCAACTCCCTTGTTATCTCCAGCAACAAGGGTATTGTTACCGAAAAGCGATGTTCCATGCACAGGGTAAAATGTAAGGATACCGATAGTCTTCTGATCGGCGAGCCGGTCGAACTTCAATAGGGTCATTGTCTTGTCAACATCTGAAGTGTAACGCTTTCTCTCTTCTTCAGGATTCGCAAGATATGCGGATGGGCTGCGGTTAATATTGGCGTCCTCAACTTCGGTAGATCCAAACGTCAGCCGTCCAGGAGCCAAGCTCTGATGAGCTCTCTTGATAGATAACAATGCCCCATCGACAATTGCCTGATAACTCTGTTTATCAAACCCCAAGCTTGTAATTTGTGGTAGGAGGTAGTTCAGCCATGCTCCGGGTCCCGCGTGTGAGTGCGTTCCTGTAACCGCAACATTCATCTTTCCATAACGTGAATACTCTCCACCCAAGGAAGAGAGCCCATCCAAGATCCCTTGCCTGATTGCAGTATCACCGCTGGCATTATCGAGAACGAGGTACACAAAACGGTTATCACGATTTTTGGTGCTTCCCACGATAAATGCGCGGGAATAGATTCGCTGTCGAAGTCCCGTTCCCACTTGATTCATATCTGCGTAGCCCATGAAGTTGAGCTCCACAACTGGCCTATGAAGCACAGCATGCTGGTCAGTGACCAACCGAGCTCAAGAACGCCGAATAGACGTTTAACCCGAAGGGCCTTACCCAGTAATATCCGCCTTCCCAGCACCAAGAAGGAAGACATCATCCTCCCAATCTGGTTGTTTTGGCCTCCCGGAATACGAACTTGACTTGGAATAGTACCATATGGAGGGTTGAGTATCCTCAAAGAAGAAAATAAGGTGTAAAATGATGAGCACGCAGGCTAATGAACTCAGAAAACCCGTGAGGATTGCCCCGCATGCCATCTTGGATGAATATCTTCAGCCGTGGTTGAAGTGTCTCTGATGTCAGTATGACAGGATGACAACACAGGAAGGTCGGATGGCTTCCGGTTCGATTTGCTGCGTTGTTGTCCTACAGCAAGATGGGAATTATTCATATATGACTGGCCCATATCGTGTGGAGAGAACATGCAACCATCGTGTTCCGGCGCAAAATTTCAGGAGTATCCATTCGTTCTGGTGCTGCCGTTGAAGGATGTCTGGTCTGCTGCGAAGCGAGGACCACATGATGGAAGTACCTGCCCAAGCAGGATTTGGAACCGAGTAGGAATCTTGCAGGATTCAGGAATCCATGCGACGAGTAAGAACTCATAACACCACAACCAGTCATCTTCGTGCATTATGGTCAAGTTGAAATTAGAGACTGTTGAAGGATGATCAGTGACGGGTGATGAAGTGCTGGGGAGGACGTTGGGTCGTTAAATGGCCCGTTGAGTCACAATTTCCCCAGTCTCGATGCTGCAAAAATGACAGGGGAGTATGCCGAGTTATGGTGCTCTAGGGGATCAATTGCCGATACTCGGAGTGCAACTCGAGAAATACGTTTGATACCTTGCCGTAAATCTAGAGAATAAAGAAAACATCAGAGAAACCATTGCTAAAGATTGTGACGTCTATCTATAATCCTTGTACCGATTGGCGTCGGAGATTTTTGATGAGGTCATGTGATTTGGCAGGAGAGACCAATGGAGCAGATCCAGCCACTTCAACGAGAATCAACGCATAAAACGCGCGTTGAGATATACCCAAGCAGTTATTCAACGCCCTCGCAGACACGGAAAGACAACCTAGCTTTCAACAATCCAGAATTAAATTTTAGACTTCGGGGAAATGCCTCTTATAAACGAATTCCACGATTCTCTCCCATGTAAGTTGCCAAAGTTGCGATCAATCCCCTCTTGTACTTCATGGTTTACTAACATAACACTTGGCCAGACATTGATGATGAGCCCACGGCGCAGGCTCGTGCGAATATTGATAAACTTATATCCGCAGAAATGGACCCCAATCACCAATCAAGCCTCCACCCTTCCATCCCCCCTCTACCCGAAGTTCATTTCTCTACCCTGATGCAGAAAGAGCTGGACCGAAAGGAGGCTAACTTGCCTCTAACGGGCGGCATTGACTTGTCAAGATACGAGGCTCCAGAGGCTCCAGAGGATACATTGGCGTCAGGGAAAGAACCTGCACAGGTTCTGGATAGCTGGCAGCAAACACTACGAAGAGCATATACCGCCAGCACTCATCTATCCACAAGACAAGAGAACCTGTCTCTACTGGATGCGCATGGGAAAAATGCTTGGCTTATTGGCAACTCTCAACTAGAAGAAATTCTACGGCAGATTGAAAAGGAACTACAGGAAACCAAGGAAGCTACCGATGCTATCCATAAGGCGAGGAAAATGAGGCAGGAAACAACAAAGGGTGAGCTTGTGGGGTTGGAGGATGCCTGGAAGCGAGGTGTTGGCGGCATAATCGATGTGGAGGTGGCTGCAGAGAAGCTGCGGAGGGACATTCTCGAGAAGCGACGTCAGCAATCTCAAGGACAGGTACAGCAGTGACTGCGAATTCTCAGGATGCCCATACCATTATATCAAGGACCTTAGGATAAATTTACTCGCTGGAGTTTCTCAACAAGCATTGCTCCCACCAAGGAAGGGGTAGGGTCGAGCCGCTGCCTAGAAGATTTATAGAACAAGAGCCAAGCCTTTTGTTCAGAAGTGGACGAAGCCGTTTTCGTTCGTTCTTTCACCATATGCACAACAATGAAGTTTGATATGGCCTCGTGCATTCCTGGGCCGAACTGGCATTTGTGACTCTGAAAAGTTCATTGGTAGAGAGTGATTGCCTACAGCAGGTCTTAAGCGATGTTTTACGCGTGCCCGTCCATCATCACTTGAGTCAGTCCAAGGCAAATTCCTACCAATTTTCATCGGAAGCAGTTGCTGTCAACTCACGGGACGAGGGATCCTAATCTACAATATGAAACGATCCCAGAGCGGCGAGCAAGGGAAAATATTGTTTGCTGACGAAAGCTATCTTGCCAAATTTGGACACGTTCGCAGAACATCCCGAAAGGAACGCTTGGAGAGCTTGCTGTTTTGAACAAAAGCTTAGAATTATTCAAATCGCCTAACATGGTTGTCTATTGCCAGCTCTTGGGGCAATTCTGCACGTTTCCGGTTTATTCTTCCGTTGGCATTGTCCACGTACAACCGCCGACGTGCCTGAAAGGAAGGTCTCCATAATATTATTTCTATTAGTGCCAATTTCAATATATAGTGTTTCTCTCCTCATGTATTGTTTCCATGTGAACCTCCCCCTTCAAAGTCTCAATGGTGAGGAGCTTGAGTGGAGAATCTCGCGTTCTCATGGCTATCGTGTTGGCCCTAGTTACATGGATTTGCTCCTCTACCAATGCTTTCCCCTTCCTCACTAGCTGCTGCCCCAAAGATATGGTCGCTGTACCTTGGACAAATATCTCCCGATACCCAAAAATGAGGAGTGCGGCGTCTGTCCCTGCGGAACGGATATCGCATTTCTGTTCCCTTCTTCAGGTTTTAATCCAAATTGACCTTTTGTGAGGAGGCATATAGAGGTGGTATCGATATTTAACTCGTGTTCGTGCTGCATAGATGCCTTTATCTTCATTCCTAGGTCCCACACCTACAGTCCTTGTTGATAGTACATCTTATCGGCATACTTGACAGAATTACACACGGGAACCATGACCATTCCTGACGAAGTTGACATCGTTGTATGTGGCGGTGGCAGTTCGGGTTATTTCCCAGTTGGCCGCATATTAGCCAACTTGAACAATAGGCTTCGGGTTCTTCTCATCGAGACTGATGAGGATGTCCCGAATAACCTTTGGAAGGGTTCGCCTCATCTTCCTTGTCAAACTTTGCTGGATATCGGCAGCGACTTTGTTATGTAAACCCGTATAGTCTACGCTGTAATTTCATGGTAAACTCACCTATCTTTCCGCCTCAATGTTATTTGCACAAACGAAAAGACCAATCGTTTTCACCTGTTTTGGTGATATCATGTGCTCATACCGACAGAAAATTCTTCACTAATTCTGCTTCCTGGTAAGCTGAGTGCCGCTATCAACTGAATTGTGCTGCCATTGACAAGGTCTATTTTAGGAATATCCCTTCTCCCGTGGATGGATTCTTGTGAATTGAAGCGCTGGACTCTGATTCAGGTTTCGTAAACGACATGTGTGATATAGTTCTCATGGTCCGAGGCTATATCAAATCTGATGAGACTCTTTGCTTTTCGTCTTCATACGCAGGGGAAGTGATTGCCATGCACCTTCAAATTTGTGTTCGATTCTCTAGCTTGTACTAAGGATATGGACCTTGCGACAGCCAAAGCGTATACTGGCCCGAATCATATCTGAGCTGATCTTCAGCACGGCAAGGCGGCCGCTTCAAACTCTTTGCATATTTTCAATTTCCAATGATACCAAAGGACTCTAGTTGCACAACCTAGAGTCCAGAAACCAACGGGGGAGCCTTGAAGCACCATGAAACAAAACGGAACCTTCAGGAGAGCAGGTTGCAAGCTGACACGACTGAGTGTTGCGAGGAAGGTTTGGTTTCGTTTCGTCAAGCGCTAGCGCCCTCCCAGAAAATAAGCATGAATTGAACCACAGCGACAGCGACTATCCTCCTTCTCTTTCTCTTGTTGCAGAACTACCAAGGAGACATGGATATGTGAAAATGTTGCCCTTCTTGTACATTTCCTGACCTGGCCAAGCCAAATCAATAATCCTCTCCGGAAGTTTCGATGGGCAAAAAAATATAGGAAAAGAAATTTAGCAATGGAAAACTCTAGATCTTTTGTTTTTATTCAAACTTCTTGGAGAGGGTTGACAGCCCGTCCGCTATATAACGTTTCCTCAATATGAAGCACTACATCCCACTCCAATGCATAATATATACGAGTATTCCTACGATGTGAAAAACCATAAGAATCACCTCGTCGCCCAGAGTCTCAAGGTCTGATTGTTGATACCACGTGATATTATTCTGGGATCAGCCTCCATTACGACGTCGAAGAAAAAAGAAAAAAGCAACAAGCCTCATCCTGGCTCATCCAGGCTCATCCACCGCATGAGTGCAGAAGCATGCGGGACGAAACGACCAATCGATTCGAACGGTTCAGAGTAAAAATATCCATGCCAAGGCTGCCGGTGGCGTTTCGCACTGCGATTGTCTGGTCGTTCACTTTGTCCTTCTCCCCCAGCAAAGTGTTCTCTGATGAGATGGAAGGGATACTAGAGCATTCATATGAATATTGGATCTAATGCATTTTCGGACTATTCCAATATCTGCTCAGCTTGCTCACGCACCGTAGAAGGACGCCCATAACATCATGATCTGATCCCTGGTCACACTGTCTCCGTCAGCGCGTTTTGGCCGTTTGAAGCTACTGGCCAATCCCGGCACAAATTCTATCTTTTTGTCGCCTGCGGTCCTGAGAGAGTGAGACATCTCCCCGAAAGTGGTAAAAGTGGGTTGTTTGGGTCACATACAGCATTCATACTCTACTGATTTTGCTCTTTTTGATGACATTTCCTTTGATGATCAACTCTTTTCTCTCATTCCAAATCATTGGATTTGAAACTTCGGATTCTCTTCGCGCTGGGCGATGAGTAGCTGCTAACCCCCCGAGTGATCATAACTGACAGGAAGGATCAAAATCTTGTTTGTCTGGTCAGGTCTGGTCTACGAACCGGACGGAACCTGTCGACAGGATCCTCCAGGCGATCTATATTCTAAACGATAGATGATGTCGCTCGCTTGCTTCCTTTTTTCCCATCTATCGATGTCTCCATTGTTGCTGCGGTTAATTACTTTCGTTTTGTTTGCTGATTCCCTTCTTGATTATGGCCAGTCTTACGGGATCGGGGTGGTTGGTGTGACAGCGAATCCAACTCGATCACATATACGGTTGGATGGAGATAGGATTCTCAAGCGGGACGATACTCCAACGGATGTTTGTAAGCGATGGTCACAACAGACTGCGGTGGTCAATGGGACCATGTATATCTACGGAGGAAGGTCGATGACTGATTCAAGTCAAAGCGATAATACTTGGAGTACGTATCTTCGTTTTCGTTCTCCGGGACAGCTCCTCTCAATCAAGAATGTTTCTAATAGCCGTTGCATTTGATGATAATAGATGATGACTTCCTAACCCTCGATTTAAAATCCACTTGGGATATATCATCTCCCAAGTTCACTGGCCTCCCCAGACCATCTGGCCCCCCACCAGTATCAAACGGATACCTTTGGAATTCCCTCGAATCTCTGTTTCTATATGGCGGAGAGTTTTCGGATAATCCACGGAAATTCCCAACGGCATTCAGTTTATGGGAGTACAACATATTATCATCTACCTGGAAAGAGCATGAGAACCCTCGTACGTCTGAGGGAAGCAATTCCAACGTCGGTGATCAGCCGGTTCAGCGGTCGGCAGAGGGTGCGGGCATTACAGCTCTGGAGCTGGGAAGGGGCTTCTACTTTGGAGGACATTTGGATGGGTACACTACTGAAGGATGGGATCTCTCCGTCCCACGTGTGTATCTGAAGTCGTTCATCGAGTTTACGTTCCCTGGCTATTCGAATAACGAAGTAGAAAGCTTAAAGGGGGATAAGCCTGCCGGGGTGGATGGTGCGTGGCGGAATATTACCGAGGGTGGACTCCAAGAGTCTGCAGGGTTTACCGAACGGGCTGATGGAGTCTTGGTTTATGTACCTGGATTTGGAAAGCAGGGAATTATTTTGGGTCTTGCTGGCGGGACAAATGCGACTTTCGTGAGTGTTATAGATACCGCACGGCCCCGCCCACTTTGATAATTTTCTCTATTTATGACCTACCTGGCTAACTGTGGTGATTAATAGACGCAAATGAATGTCATCGACGTCTACGATATTGAAACTTCCACATGGTACAAGCAAGCGACAAGCGGAGAAACGCCAGCGATCCGAGTTAATCCGTGCGCGGTTGCTGCATCCGCGGCTGATGGAAGCAGCACTCAAGTGTATCTATATGCTGGGCAAAACCTAATTCCCTACGGAAAACAGATTCAATATGACGATATGTGGATCCTCAGCATCCCCAGCTTCACGTGGATCAAAGTCAACACGGACGGCCAGTCCGTTCCCCCAGCCCGTGCAGGGCACACGTGCAATATCTGGAATTCTCAGATCATCGTGACAGGCGGCTACGTGGGCCAAGATCTGACTTGTGACAGCCCTGGTGTTTACGTTTTTGATGCATCTGAGTTACAGTGGAAAACCCAATACGCTGCACTCGAGGGAGGAAACTACTTGAACCAACAGGACTCACAGAAAAACGACATGAGGGGCCTGAGTGGCAGCTACGGCTATAAGGTTCCCAAGGCTGTCCAAAAGGTCATCGGCGGTGATGATCAGGGGAGGGCAACCGTGACCGAGCCTGCAATTGCAGCCACAGGCGGTCCCATCGCGACAGGCAAACCAATCACATACACGGTGACAAATCCAGACGGTTCCGTCACCACCCACATCGGCCTACCCGGCCAGGAAGTCGGCGGCGACAAGCCCAACGTAGCCGCCATTGCGGCCGGTGTCGTTGCGGGCTGTCTCTTCGTCTTAGCCGTCTACCTCGGGTTCTGCATCTACGTCTACCGCCGCCAGCTAGCATTGTACAAGAGCCACGTCGCCGCCGTCCAGCGCTCGTCAAGCGGCAGCCGCATAGCGCTCACCAGCGATAAGTTCGGGGCTCTTGTTCCGTTTCATTCCTCCGAGAACACTGAGAGCAATGGCCGGCATACATCGTTCAGCGAGTCCGGGTCGAATGTAGCCGCCGCTTTAGGGTCGGGAGCATCGCAACCGGGTTTTCGTGGTTCGGCGGGGGATTTTCGGCCTTCCAGTGGATTTGCTGGCGCGATTGGCAGTGCGCATAGCAGTACCGACGACCTGCTTGCGGGGCAGGAGCCGACGTTTTTGGGTGTGATGTTGAATCCTCGGCGGAGTTTGAGGGTTATTAATAAGGATTGACGTTTTCCTTTACTTTCCTTTTGTTTTCTTTTCTTCTTGTTGTGTGTGAGTGGTGTGACTAAAACTAATGTTGCATATCTTGCATGACTTTGTACCAACTGGGCAAGTCATTGCCTTCCTTTTCCCACTCTATATTGCATGCAGGCGTTGTTTGATATATTCAAATTCTAGGTATGTGTGTTCTGACGATATCGTTTTTCACGTCACAATCAGCGCCATTTTGCATCTTGAAATTTTCCTATGCATAACGAGATTTTTTTTCTAACTGTTTCTTGTTTCCTCTTGTTTCAATAAAATTTCACTTTTTACTTGCGCGGGTTTCACTATGAAAAAAATTCCCTTTTCAACTTGGTCCCTGTTTTAATCATATTCTCCTTCCGTCTTTCAGTATATCAGTACATATACCCAATCTTGTTGGTCCCCTCCTTTTGTTACTACATGAATACTCTCTCTAAAATCCATCCTCAAATAGTGATAATAATCGAGATGATACAAATACACGTTCCCGCTAGAATTTGGGCCTTTCCATGCGTACCAAGCACCTTTTCGGACCTTGTCCTGTACCAACGCAGAGAGCGGACACCCTGGGGTATGGCATTTTCATGGGGGGCATATTGAGCTCCCCCTTTCCCAACCTATCCGCGGGGAAAATCCCCCACCCCATGGTTTTTAGCCTATGTCGTTTTTGAATGTTTCATTCGAGATTCATATTCCCCGTCAAATCCCTTTGCTAAATCATGTTCCATTCCCTGCACTTTTTGCTGGGATTTTCGGGATGAGGTCCTCGTGACTAGGTGTAAATGGAATCGGAAACGAAGTCACACGCACGCCATAAAAAGAAAGAAATGCTTGCAGGTACGCGAAACACAAAACGGCTGGACTCTAGAGCATGGTGTAAAACAAAATATATTTTGTTTCTTTTTATATCCTATTAAATCCCACCATAGGGACTAGGGTGTTTTTTTTTTTTTTTTTTTTTTTGGGTCAAAGCGGTCAGAGTGGTGCCTACCGCGCACGCTAAACCCACTTTCCTGAATCCTGATGCCATGAATCAAATGATTCTAATAGATATTATCATGTTTTTTTTGTCATGCTGAATGATATTCAGCTATTGATAGATATATGTTCCAATAAAATATTTCTATATGTTACTGTGTTGAGGGGAAAAACACTTGAAGTATATCCATATCAATACCGAGTGCTTAAATGTGAAAACCAGATAAAGAAATCCCTGTTGCTGGTGTTGCCTATTGAACGAAAGTAGGCACTAATTTAGAACTATCCACCAGATCTCTTTGTCGCCATGCTCTCCCTATTTCGCGCCATCCTCTTCCCGATGAGTAGGTTCTGGTTCCGAAGGCGAAACACCCAACATGCCGGTGGATCGAGCTGGGTCCCAGAACGTCCACTTTCACACTGCGTCGACAAGTGCATGTATTGGTGAGAATGGTTCTATCACTGAGGACAACCTCCTTGGATTCTGAACAATGAGCTTTTAATCGTGGAAGAGGGGCAGTCTTGGACTATTCAGCACAGGAGCCTCGGGCCGAACTATTGCACCTTCAAGCAGTCCGGTTGTTCCTGGAGATTATGACATCTACTCCACAGGTACAGTATGCCAGCATCTGAATTCGGAAAGGCACAGCGGTCAAGTCTGAGCTAAATCCTTCTAGGATCACTTCAAATTACTAATGAAGTCTGGAATTGCTCGACTTATCAGCCACTTTGTATCAAGTCGGGATGATCAATTCCGGCCTGAAGTCCGTGCCAGAGATGGGAGATGTGTTAAAACTGGACGAGTGAACAATTCAGCGCGTTGGGGCAACTGGATTCCATATGAAGCAGCGCATGTGCACCTCCACCTAAGCTTCTTCTTATTATGCTATTGCTAGCAGAACAAAGGATGGCGACAAGATTATTGAGTTTACTCCCGATAATTGGGGGAACTGATGGAAGAATATTGTCTCCCATCTGCTGGTTTGAGAGGGAAATTCAAGCAAGATTGCAGTCTGCAACCTATTGTAATGCGATTATCAAAATATCGTTGAATGAACTGTATAGTGACAGAAAGTTAAAACATGAAGTATGAGGAAAGGCGCAGGCAGCCAGACATGCCACCCGAATTTCTATACGGACCGCATAGCTCTCTACATTCTCCCACGAGTCCCATTAAACCGATCATCAACAAAACCCGCAAAGTATTAAGAAGGCAAGGATATGCTTGACAAATGACCTCGGCAACAAGCAATTGCCAAGGGCGCCTTGGGCACTCCATACTAGTCCTAGTATGGCAATGCCGGTGGCAAAACGGTTAGGGCTAGCTAGTCCCAAAACGGAATATTTCCGGCAACCCTTATCGCCCCACGTGCTGTGCGGAAGTATTTCCTCCAGAGCATTAGTAAGCAATATTGCGCGGCTCTTTTCGCGGTGCATCCTGGTTATTCTGATCATGGATTCAAGTTCTGATCGTTCCTGATTGTCCGTGATATCATCAGAGCTTTGCTAGCGTGGGATATATCGCCCATTGTTGTGTGATTGGGATCCGTCCTGACCTCCCCCGCCATGCGCCACATCCATGCGAGAGTCGGTGAGGGCTCGGGATGTTGGCTGGATGTTGGCTCGATGAGCCCGAGTCCCTACCTACAGACTTAAGGGAAGAGGGGATGAGAGATATTTTGCTGATGATATCACTGCAGTTCTTGACATTCTTCGACTACTAATTCCGGAGAGCTGCACAGCTTGGACTCGGAGTCTTCAGTGGTTTCACTCGCTTACAACCGAGATATCGCTCATGAACCGATCCTAGTGTCCCTCGTCAAGCCTAAAAGTCTACTCCCCGCCTAAAAAATGCTTGGCGCGGGGACGGCTTCGAAATTTGCCTTTCCTGGCACAGCTGTCGCTGTCACTGGCTGTTGGGGGTCAGGGTCCATGATGACCCCTCGCTTGGGGTGCCATCGAGTTCGGTTGGTAGCTCTCCTCGGTTGATCCTTGATGATGCAAAGAGCCTAGGCTAAAGGAGCGTCTGGGATCAAAGCTAAGACTGCGAATCCACAGGCTTGCTTACAGAGACGAGTTTTTTTTTTTAAAAAAAAAGGATTTTGTCATCTGTTTATGACAGGCGGCCATTCATTTTCTCGCTTGTTGGGATGCGCGACTGAACGGCATTATACGGTTTGATTCATCGGTTCTGCTAACCCATTCCCTTTGACTCACTGGCTGCTTCTCATATTTAGTGATAATATCATACATTTCGACGAATGCAACAGTTGAGCGCAGTCCAATTGGAACCTTTACCTTTCCTACGACTTGATTTGTGTACCTTTTACGTTTGCCACTTCAGTTGTTGGAACTAGATTATACGATTTCGTGATACAAACTCCTGTATCTCCCAGATTTTCCCTTTACCAGAAGCCCTCTCACTAAACCCGTTGTCTGACCCATGTCTGACGCCGGGAGGCCGAGTTCGACACCTCCAGAAAAGCTTGGAGAATCTCAGCGCAGTGGTTCTGCAGGCTCCGGTACAGAAACGTCTTCGGAAAAAAGCCTAGAGATCACAGCCGAAGATCCGGATGAGATCATAACTCCTCAAATTTCGAGGCGTTCGCTACCGTCACTGTCGAAAAAGGTCACCTCTGTTGGCACCACGGGCACAACAGATCCAAACTTTGAGGTGGACTGGGATGAGAATGATCCTGCGAATCCTAGAAATTGGCCCTTAAGGGTCAAGGGAATGTCAACTGCATATCTTTCATGGAGTACATTCACGGTGTAAGAGCGAATACCGAACCTTCTTCTTCTTGCATCACCTTGTTCTTTTTGCTATGTTGGGTTCTCATACCTAATCATTATTGCACGGAATACAGGGTCCTTTATTCCACCAGCTACACTGCAGGACTTGAAGATATAGCCAAGGAATTCGATACCTCAGAAACCTTAGTGACGCTAGGGTTGACCTTATACCTCATTGGCCTCGCTATTGGCTCTGTTATTCTAGCCCCGCTCAGTGAGATGTACGGCAGAAGGCCTGTTTCGATCGCAAGCTTGTTCTTGTTTACGGTTTTCATCATACCGTGCGGACTTTGCACGTCTGTCACAGAGCTAATTGTTTTGAGGTTCCTTGGGGCTTTATCCGGCAGTGCTATGATTTCCAGTGCCCCTGGCTCCATAGCTGACATGGTGGATGATGAACACCGAGCGTTAGCATTTTCCATTTGGAGCATTGGGCCCTTGAATGGGCCAGGTGAGTTGAATCAAATTACACCAAATCTAGGATTTTTCAATGACACATGCCTTTGCTGACACCTACCAAAACAATTCAGTATTTGGACCCATCATCGGTGGATACGTAACACAATACCTAGGCTGGAGATGGACGAATTGGCTGTCGATTATTTTTGGCGGAGTAGCATTGATTTTCATGTGCCTCATGAAAGAAACTTACACGCCAGTGCTTCTTCAAAAGAAGGCCGCACGCCTCCGAGAAGAGGACGATGATCCCCGCTGGTGGAGCCGATACGACCAAAAAGCTTCCTTAATCTCAGTTCTGAAAACGAACTTAAGCAGGCCATTCGTCATGGCAGTCCTGGAACCTATCTGGTAGCGCCCCCCTCCCCCCCTTATATAAAGGCCCCTAAACACCCCAAAGCCAACCCCCAGTAACATCATACCCCTTCCCCCTCCTCACAGCATATTCTGGAACTTGTACATCGCCATCGTCTACGCAATTCTCTACCTCTGTTTCGTCGCCTATCCAATCGTCTTCCGTGAAATCCGCGGTTGGACTGTCGGAGAATCCGGCCTCGCCTTCCTCGGCATCGGCGTCGGCTCCCTCACAACCATCGCTGTCGAGCCCCTCCTCCGCCGCATGATCAACGGCCACAAACTCGACCCGGAGACCGGCAAAGTGCCGCCAGAATCCATGGTGTCCGTAGTCTGCATCGCCGCCATCCTAGTGCCGGCAGGCGAGCTGTGGTTCGCCTGGACCTGCGCGCCCGCCACCATCCACTGGATCGCGCCCATCCTTGCCGGCATCCCGTTCGGCATGGGCAACACCGGCGTCTTCATCTACGCATCCAACTACCTAACGTTCAGCTACGGCGTGTACGCTGCCTCCGCGATGGCGGGCAACTCGGTGATGCGGAGCGTGCTTGGCGGCGTGCTGCCGCTAGCCGGGCCCGCGATGTATGCGAAACTAGGACCCAATTGGGCAAGCACACTCCTGGGCTTGCTGGAGGTTATGATTATTCCGATCCCCTTTGTGTTTTATAAGTACGGGCATAAAATTCGGATGAAGAGTGCGATGATCCGGGCGATGCAAGCGGATAAGGCGAAATTGGCCGGTAAGCGGTCGAAAAAGAGGCATGAGAACGATGGAGAGAAAGGCGGGGAAGAGGTGGTGGGAGGTGGTGGCTTGTTGGAGAAGGAGATAGTTTAAAGCTGATCGACCCTTCTTTATCTTTTATCTTTTCCCTTTCTTGTCTTTCTTTCTTGGCTGTTGTCCGGTTCCCCGTAGCGGGTTGCCGCCATACCCTATAATGTTTGACTCGGGTGAGAAAAATGCTTTTATACTCCTTTCTGTTTTGGTTGGCTTAGGGGTCTATTGCATTTTGCATCTGGTATGGAGTTCTCTGTTTACTTTTGGCTCTTTTCCTGTTCCTCTTTCTGCTTCGATTTTTTATTTTTCTACTTTCCCGTTTCATTCTGCATATTATACGTTATGTATATAACATTGACTTTGGATTCATTTCGGAAATTTGCCTAGGGGGAGTATACTGATGGCAGAAAAAAACCGCGAAAATAATTGGACAAGGTATAAAAAGGGGGAAACAAAACTACTAAATATAATATAGAACTTTATCACATCGATTTTCTTTTGCCCCTTTGAGTCCAAGATGGTGTTGATGTCGGCGTAAAATGAAACGTTTAGTCATCCATTTATTCCAGGGGCAAAGGCAAGTCCTCTCCCCCCAAACGACGACGGGCCTTCTCAAGGACGAAATACTCAGCCCTGAATTTTAAAAGTCCGATAGACAAGCACACACTCTCACACACACACACAAAGGCGGCTTTCTGGTCCCGCAATAGGGAACGGTTGAACGGGTAAATCAAAGTCCAATCATATCCCCCAAACCCTATCCACCTCCTTCCCATAAGATAACACAGATAACATCCAAATAATAATAACAACATCACACTCTCGTCCCTCTCGACTGGTAAGCCGGCCGCTTAACCCGCCTATCGGCGTCTTCCCACTCCTGCAGCACACGCTCATACTCTCCAAGTCGAACAGCGTCGGCGGAGAAAACCATAACAGCCTCCACAAAAACCGATCTAGCAGCACCATTAGGCGATGGTAGTAGCGGTGGTGATGACGGAGATGATGAATTACGGTCTGCTCCCGCCGGCGGTGGCCATTTGGGGTCAGCTGGGGACAGTAATGACTTAGTCGACGGCTGCTCTCGTATGTAGCCTAGCACGTTCAACCAAGCGCCAACCTGGAGATCGGTAGCTTTGAGTTGCTCTAGGAGTAGAGAGATGTCCACTGATATGGAAGGGATGGGCCGCTTTGTAATGGGGTAATTATGCTCCAGGAGCAGATGGCCAGTTGAGACGTTGTAGGAAGAAACGCTGGTGAGGAATTAGAACTTCTTTTCTTGCTATCTTTCATTTCATTTCGCTGGAGCTTGGGTTGAAACGACAGCTCCAATTTAATGTTGTAAACCTTGACAATATATATCACAGACATGTAGTACAAGTATTTAGTTTCAACTCTATGCCAGAGGCCGACTCACCATCCAAGGAAGCGTATCTTTGATCCCGTAGGCAAATTGGGGATTTCAGAGAGAAATGCCCTTGTTGTAGGGAGCGGGCCAGCAGGGCCTTTGCTCATGGTAGAGACAATTTCATTATGCCAAATTCCATATTTCCGCAGAGAGATAGTAGATGATACTGAGACTATTTCGACAGGTCCGTTGTTGGGCTGATGTTTAAATTATGACATAAGCGGGCGCGACGTTCAATTAGGGTTGTACACGTGATGATATCACGGATGTCATAGTCGTGTGCGAGAGCCTCAAGCCTCACCACCATCACATCGACGACTCAGCCCATCAGCGACCGGCCGATATAGCTTTATCTCTATTTATCCCCCTCAGAGAAATTCATCACTCCCTTTAACTTACCACGTTTCACACTCTATTGCGTCCTAGTCTTACGGTTGTCATCCTGCCTCCTGTTATCATTCTGCCGCCTAATCTCCCCACTATCATCCCGCATCACCAACCTTGATACCTGTCGCGAGGCCTGCATCCGAAAGATTTCACGCCACATCTATAACTGCCGTTCCATAATTCCATCCTAAGACTTTGTCGACCACTTTTCAGAGTTTCACAGCCAGCAGGTGCCCGTCACTATGTGGTCGTGGTTTGGCGGCGGCTCTGCTCAGCAGCGGAAGGATGCGCCTAAAAATGCCATCCTTTCCCTGCGCCAACAGCTCGATATGCTTCAGAAACGAGAGAGGCATCTGGAGAACCAAATGGCGGAACAGGATGCTATTGCCCGGAAACATGTCACCACAAATAAGAACGGTACGTTGAAATCGGAGGGAGAGGTCGAGGTTCTACCCCGCTTCGATTTCCACAGAGGGAGAGGGAACCTGGAGCTGTACTCCCGCGCCTAATTAGAGTATTCTTCCTGTGATTATATACTCACTAATACTTTGTTTCTATACATATAGCTGCGAAGGCTGCCTTACGACGGAAAAAAGGGCATGAGAGATCCCTCGAGCAAACAAGCGCTCAGATAATTCAGATTGAGCAACAAATATCATCTATCGAGGCCGCCAATATCAACCAAGAGACTCTCCTCGCGATGAAGAATGCTGGAAATGCCATGAAACAGATCCATAGTGGGCTTACGATCGAGAAAGTAGACCAGACCATGTATGTGTATCGTATCGTACTTTGGCATTCATATTTCCAGTTGCTTGCTGGTCAACCAACGATACATCATCTATTTCGAGATGAAAACGGGGGCGGTTCTAATGCGATGTGACCAATAGGGACGAACTACGAGAACAACACGCACTCAGTGAAGAGATCGTAAACGCCATAACAAGCAACTCCATAGGCGAACCACTAGACGAATCGGAGTTGGAGGCAGAGCTCGAGGGAATGGAACAAGAGCAGATTGACGAACGAATGCTCAAAACTGGGACTGTGCCAGTCGCAGACCAACTGGGTACATTACCAGCGGCAGCAAATGGACCTCGTGAGTTATCCTTCCCTGTTCAGATCATGTTCATCTTATTCCCCCTATTCAAAGAATGAAAATGAAATATAAAATGAAAATATACAGGGGAGGCTAACATATGACGCGCTTCCAGTCAAAGGCAAAGAAAGAGCCACGACAGAAGAGGAAGACGAGGAAGCGGAACTGGCAAAACTGCGAGCAGAGATGGCCATGTAACTTGCAGCACCAGCGCTCTATTTCGTATTTTTATCATTTACCATGAGAATGGGGAATAAGGCAATAATAAATAAACCACTTGATTTATTCAACGGTGTACATTTTGGGGCACGAAATCCGCAGAGAACTAGAGACCAGACCCTTCTGCTTCCTTCAGAATCTCAATCTCACCTGACTCGCCCTTCAGCTTTGACCTCTACCCGCTACTTCGATGTTGATAACTTCTTTGCGATTCGTGGCATTATCGGCGATCAGCAGCGCAAATCCTATATCCGTGCCGCTTCTCCAGAGCATTGCTCTGTCGTAGCTATATTATGGGCGTCCATGGCTCTATTTTTTTTTTTTTCCTTTTTCGTGTGCGTGTGTTTCATTTGTGCTTGTGTGTTCTAATTTTTCCCGCCTTGTATTGCTGATCATGTAGTCTCTTATCTTCCTGGTTACTTGCATCTTGTAGCCATCTCTCTTTTTGCTCAGCCATGGATATAACGATAAGATGGGTAATTTTCCTCCCAGCGCCTTTTCCTGCCTACTTTTCAGTTTTTCTATATCAGTAACAGCAGCAGCAGCAGCAAGAGCAACAGCAACGGCTCACCTTAACCTGCAGTTGCAAACCCTATGCTTTTCCTTCCGGCTGGGTTTTGTCCTTAGCACAAACCCAAGCTCTGTTCGTGCATTCTAGCCATGTGACTCTCCAGCTTTGTTCCTTGTATCCAACTCCATTTATCAGACGTCCTTCAAGTTTTCTTAACTTTATGGATTGCTTGCATTTTTGGTGCAAATAGACTTGTTCCATTGAGAAGGGGAAATGTGACTTCCAGGCAACGATACGGGACGGGACAGTCTTAGATTGACAAGACTAATCAAATCATATTTTATCTGTTCTATCATCTATCTCCGCTGCTTGGGACTATTGAATAAAATATTTGCGTAAGATGGGGCGCTTTCACCCCCCAGACAAAAAGCATATGCATTGACGAAAGCGGGGTGTCAGAAATCGATGCTAGCAGATATATATATTCCGAGTAAATGAGGCGCGGCATACTCATGACGGAATGCTGGTAAGGAGAGCAAATAGAATCATTTAATATTTTTCAGATAGGTCGCTGCGTGCAATGGTGAGGATGTATGCGCTTATTACTGTGCTTGGGAATCGAAAATAAGCAACATCATGCAAATATCATGATGGCGAATAACCAGCCAGGTTTTTGAGTTAAAATAGAAAGGTAAAGCGAATCGAAAAACAAAAGAAAACGGCAAAAAGACATGCATGACTATACCTCGGATTGTCTGTCTCATGAAAAACCAAACCAGCGTTGAACCCAGCATTAAATATTACCTATGCCCAAAAAAAAAAAAAAAAAAAAAAAAAAAAAAAAAAAGACAAAGAAAACAGTCGGAGATATATGAGATTCATTCCCTTCGTTTCTCATTCGTTCATAAAGAAGGGAAAAGAGAGGAAATGCAAAACTTAGAAAAGCAGTGGAGAGATATAATGGGGCAACGAAAGCCAGGACGAGGACAAAAGCTAACACAAGGGCGATAAAGTTCGGTAGGAGAGACGATGATAGATAGAAGGATGATGCACATGAAGCAGGAAAAATCGGTAAGCGAAACGCAACAGATCACTAACTATGTAACAGCCGTTTCCAAAAACCCCTTGCTAAGAAAGAAAGGGAAAAGGAGGGAGAGGAACCGCAAACGCTCCAACCAGCCAATGACCAAAGAAAATAAGAAAATAAGAAGTAACAAAAAAATCATTCCTCGTTCAAGCCTGCTATTATTCCTTTTAAGGCATCAATAATAACGGACTCATCCTTTGGCTCCCCACCAGGGAAGGAACTTTCAGTAGCGCCATTGAGCACGCGGTCGCGAGCACTTCGAAGGACTTTGGAAATGTATTCTTTATCTTCGTAGTCTTCCATGAGTACTGCTTCAAAATTATCAATGGCTTGATTTGCTCTATCAAGGAACGTTGGTTCGGGCTCTGGGGGTGGTGGAGGAAGCTGGGTGGGTTGGTTCGACGCTGGTGGCGCCGGTGATCCTTGCTGTTGTTGTTGGCTATGAATGTGGGGAGGATGTTGGGCTGGAGGGGACGGTTGAGGCTGAGGTTGGTATTGCGGCAGTGGAGGATTTGTATTAGGAGGCGAAAGGGGTTTGACAGAAGTATGGTTAGAGGACGGTGGTAGAGCATTTTGTGGCGGGAGTGGAGTATGGTTGAGGAATTTGTATTGTTCAGGTGGAGGCGGTCGATTTTGCGGCGGTGGAGGTTGTTGGTGTTGATTTTGAAGCTGAGGTTGAGTATGTTGGTTTTGTTGTGACGGTTGTTGGGATTGTTGAGAATTTTGAGGTTGTTGAGGTTGTTGCTGTAGTTGCTGCGGCTGAGAAGACGAGGGCAGATGCTGCTGCTGTGCTTGCTGCAGTGTTGGTGGAGGACGTTGCTGCTGCTGCTGTTTTTGCGCTTGTAATATTTCTGGTGGTGGTGCAGAGGCATACGGAGACCGATACGTCGAGGTGGTGGGAGCTGCAAATGTTGGTGGGAGGTTATTACGCAATACATTTGGAAGTGAGAATTGAGCAACAGGGTTCGGCAGGGAGTAGGGACTATTATGTGACCGTGCTGCACCTCCTCCCACCGCGGACTGATTGGTCCCTGCGGGAGGGTAGGGGAACGGAAACGAATTATGACGTTCGGGCATGCTTGGACGGGAGTCATTGAACTGAGTGCCTGGGGTTGGCGCCAGGTATGTTTGGTTACCCCCAGGATTTTGGGTAGCGTGTGAGGTACTTTGTGAGGGAGGAGGGGGTGATGGTCTCCTTTTCTTTTCTTTATCAACAGACCCTCCTGGTGTGAGCCTCCACGACCATCCTTTTCCATCCCTTTCCGCATGCTCAAATAAGTGCGCATTCCCGTTAAGATTATGACGAACACTTGATGTCCAACCCTCAGTTTCACATCTAAATCGGAAGTACGGGTACTTAAGCTTCAGTGCGCGATATATTTGTTTCAAAGTCATGGGGTTCTGAGACTCAGTAAGGGCATCGAAAATTAGAACCGCATAGTTATATGGAGGTTTCGCAAGGTCCTCGCTTGTATAGAAACTCTCCGGGGGGTAATCAGGTGAGGGAGATTTTGATGGTTTTCGTTTTTTCACAGGTGTCGGCTTGGGGAGATCCTCAACACCGACGATAGCATTTGCGTCGCCGCCTTCAATCGACGGCATAACCGCATCAGTAGGAGTTGAATCGGGTTTCTTGCGTTTCGTGTATTTTCGTTTCTCTGCCTTCGCGCTTGAAGGATCATCTTGGCCGGAATCCTTCCCAGCTTTACCGGTCTTACCACGGGATGACGTAGGAGGAGGCGTCACTCCACCGTTCGCTTCGCGTTTGGCAGCCAGCTTCTGTTCTCTGGCTATTTCAGCACGCTCTCGTTTGGACATGATTCCGTCTTTGGGTGGCCGACCAGGCCCACGACGACGTACGGGTTGTGACGAAGCTTCCGGGCTAACCTCCAGTGAAGGTTTCGACTTCGATCGAGATTCATTGCCCGATTTCTTTGGCTGTGATCGATCTTCCACCCCACTAAGCTCTGAGCCATCTGTGTCCATACTACAGACCTCTGCATCACTTCCAGCTCCAGCCGTCTGGGCCTCTTTTCGAGCAATCGCCTCCTCTTCATCTTCATCAACTATCGACGGTTCATCCTGCTCTGCCCCAGTTTCGCCAACTGGAACGTCAGGAAGCACAAACCTCACTCGGACTCCACCGATTTGAATGAAGTCGCCACTATGGAGGGGCCTCACTTGGCCTGGTGCGAGCCAATCCGCGCCCATGAATGCACCATTTCTCCCGATAACCTCCATTTCAAACAGATTCCGATCAAAATTGTAGGCTATTTTGACATGTTTTCGAGAAATGCCGCGGTGGGAGGCGACGGTTCCATTTGATTGTGCGGGAGGGTGTATTGGTATCGTGGGGCAGGCATCCGGAGAAGGTAATAATGACAACGTATCAACCGGTTTAGGGTCATTTTTAGAACGTAATGACTGCATCGCGAGAGTGTTGTAGTCTTTAGTTACTTCTGGTGTTTCGAGCGGAGTAGGAGGCACTTCCGCAGCGGACATGTGTAACGTGGGGCGTCGTTGTTCGCCGTGTGATGAATTGGATGATTTCCAACTAACTTGGGGGGGGAATTGTTGAGGAACGTCAGGATCGAAGCCCATGATTCCGCCTCTATCGCTAACAACGCTACCCATTATAGCACTTCCATCATGCTTTACCCTGTTTGGAGTGAATGACTTGTTTCCTCCGCTTGAGCTTTGACCTCTGGCTTGTCTAACTTGGAGCTCCCGCTGGAATGCAGCACGCGCAGCACGGACATCACGACCTAGGATAAATGAGTAGGTATTAACGTAAAAATGTCCATCGTCGAATTCCAACTTCGCGAAGGCCTGGATACGGGGTTCAGATCCCGCAACAGACTCCGGCGCAGCTTGAGAATTTTCCATATCGCCGTGCGATGGAGGTTCGGGATAGTTGACAATACGTGGTGTTGGGCCAGAATGAATGTCAGCATTAAAATAAGAGTCAGTGAGCAATTGGTTCTGTCGCAGGGCCTCCTTTGCATTCTTCGGTGTAGCTAGGGGTAGCAGCCCGGAGCAAAGATCTTCCAATTCGTCCTCCACCTTGCTGTTGTTGCTTTGTATTGTGCCGGAATTGGTACTCAGCTCCTTCGGCATATTTTCACTTTGGGTTCCTTGAAAGACATCCGTAAGCATATCTCTGTCTGTTTTCGAACCCTCAATCAGTTTTTGGTTTATTCCCGAAGCGGCCTCCAACACAGGTTCAGTCACTCCATTTGTACCATTCACACTGTTCTCCGCCTGAGCCTCCGATATTTCCCACAGCTTTTCGGGCGCAGGAGCTCTGTCTGCTGGCAAATCTTCCAGTATGCGTTCGATTTGCGGGGGTCCTTGTGGTGGTTCATTCGCGGGGGTCCCATTGGCGAAGAGTTGGGCGAGGAGAGCGCTTGCCGCGTTCTGCTTTTCACGATCGGTTTGTTTTTTATAGTCATCTACACATATCGGGTCAGCGCCATGGGTGGCTACCATAAAACTTCAAAGAAATCGTCATACCCGACAGAGCGGAAAAGGTGTTCTGCGCCTTCTGGATGTGGTCAAGGCCAGGCTTGTTCGACGCATCAATGTCATTGGGGATATCCCGCGAGTGGTCGCCGAGATCGTACGCAGACCTCTCCGGCGCCGGCTCATGAGGTGTATGCCTCATCAGCGACGTCGTCAAAGTCTGAGACGACGACATGGTATAAAGCTGCCGGGACCCAGCGCAAGCTCAAAGCGGTGAAGTTGAAAAGAATCCAGACGATTTTGTCGGGATTTGGGCAGCTGCAGTCAACCGTAGAAACCGCGCAAGGAGCGTATTGCCGCTAGCCCGTTTTTGGATGTAGCGTATTTTTTTGAGGTTCGCGATGACTGACTCGCACCAGCCAATTGGCAGCCAGGAACATCAACATCTACAATTTACTCTTGATATTGCGAGAATAAATCACCCCCTATACGGAGTAGTTCTGATGGAAGCAGGTAATACTTCGGGCATGGCACAAACTGCAGAATACTCAGGCGGGAATCTTGGTTGCCCTATTCTACCGCTTCTTCAACCGTTCACTCCTCCATCTGCAGTAGCCACGTTGGGTGATGGCGAATTTCATAAGCAGCTTTCGTTTGTTCTTCAGAGATAACTATGAAAGTCTACCTTAAACAGCCAAACATGAACCTCCCGTCTAACATGAATGTCTTTGTTGTCGTACAATACCAGTAAGAATGACGGGGAGGCAGAGGGTTGAACTTAAGATAGCCAAAGATGAGCGGGTTGCATCTCTTGTTCCTGATGAATACCAGATCGCCTGATACAGAGAGTGAAGGAAGTGACGAGGGAAATGCATAGTAGGAGGTAGACTCCGTGCCTGTACGAAGTAATGAACCTTTGGATAGATACATAATGGTTCTTTTGAGCAGCTCTGCGGCTTGTCACCCGATAGGAAACACATTAATCATCAGATCCCTCGATTACAAAGCCATCATACCTGATCGATTGGCCCAGTGGTCAAGGCGCCCGCTTTACAAAAGTGAAAGTCGCGGGAGATCGCAGGTTCGATCCCTGCATCGATCATATTCATCCTTTTTCAACTCTTTTTATGTTGCTATTCTTCTCTATTTTTTTAAGCCTTCAAATTTTAATAATTTTGATCATCTCTCCAAGGATAACGAGTTAAAAAGGCTAGTAAATACCCATTTACTACGTAGACACGCTTTGCATTCTAAATAACCAAGTCCCTGAACAATTCAACATGGGTTTCTCAGACAGATGCTGAGAATATGAAGAGTCAGAGGGCATCTCCAACTCAACCATCCCGAACCTTGTAGGTTGTTTACCTCCTTGTCATACATTCATAAATATTTGCTCTATCCTAATACAGTCTTGATTGATAAATTGAGATGTTCCCGAGGCTAACTCATCTCCAGACAAAGACGACATCCGGTTTCCAAACGCCTCCTCTTCGAATAGGAGGCAGGAATAAAGATAGTTAATGTCTATAAAATATAAGTCGAAACCCAAAGTATTCAGTATAGATATATATATGCCAGCAACATGGCGCCAAAGAGCGCCAAAAAAGAGTCCTCCACGAAAAAATATACCCCGCAACAAGCCAGCAACCCAAATTCCAACCACAGCAATAACAACAACAGCAGCAACAACCCCCCAAACTGGCCAGACCTAAAACCCCTCGTCCCCGCCTCAGATCTCCATCTTGAAACCCTCCTGGACGACCAGATCCTCATAATCCGCAACCTCTTCACCGCAACCCTCTGCAAAACATACGTCTCCTTCCTCTCCACGCTGCCACTCGTCACGACCCCGGGACGGCCCAAGAAGGACGAGGCTGTGCGCGTCAATGACCGGTTCCAGGTGCATGATTCGGCATTTGCGGAGCGGTTGTGGAGTTGTACTGCATTGAAGGGATTGGTTCTTGGGGAGGGCGGTGGGGACGGAGCAGGAGGGCTCTCGTGGGGAGGGGAGGTACTGGGTTTAAATCCTAACATTCGGATCTATAGGTATGGGCCCGGACAGTTTTTTGATAAGCATTGTAAGTGTTTTTTCTTTTTTTTTTTCGATTTTTTAAATATCTATCAAAGGAGTTCAAGAGGTGGGAGTGCATATATATATATATATATATGTGTTGATATCCAGCTCATCAAAACCGCTATATCTCTTCTCACCTTAACAGCAAACGGCAACACCCCACCCCCCTTTTCTCCATATTAAATAACTAATATTCAAAAAAAACCCCAGATGACGACTCCGTCCCCCTCACCATCCTCCCAACCATCGCCGCCAAAACCACCTGGACCCTCCTAATCTACCTCACAACCTGCGCCGGTGGCGAAACCGTCTTCTACCCCGAAACAGAAGAAGAAGAAGAAGGAGAAGAAGCAGAGCACGCGCAACCTCCAAGGCAAAACGCAAACCCAAAGTCGAAACCGACACCGAAACCGAAACCGAAATCGAAACCGAAATCGAAACCGAAATCGAAACCGAAATCGAAATCGAAATCGAAATCACCGCGCCAGCGGGCGCCTATAGTCGTCGGGCTGGAGACGGGCATGGCGCTGCTGCATCGACATGGGGAGCGGTGCTTGCTGCATGAAGGGCGGGAGGTGGTGGGTGGGGAGAAGTGGGTTATTCGGAGTGATCTGGTTGTTAGGAGGTAGGTAGGTAGTTGAGGGGATGGCTGGGCGAGAGAAAGTTTGTGAAGAGGGATGATGAAGGAGGAATGGGGCATAGGGTTGGGAGGAGGAGGAGGTGGTGGTGGTGGTGGTGGTGTGGGAAAAGGAGGTTCTTGTACAGTACATACATGTACTGTACATACATCTTGGTTATGAGGGAAATGATAATGATAACAACATGCTGCAATATGGGCATTCTGCAATATCCATCCAAACCATGAATTTGCTATTGGCTGCTAGTTTTTCATATAGACATCATCCGTGTTTGTTTCTCTTTGCGCTGCGATGCTCTGCTGCAATTTTTCTTTCGTTCTTCTTTCTTTCTTTCTTTCTTCCCCCTAAACCCCCACAACCACTCACCACAAGAACACGAAACAAAACTAATATTTTCAAATCCTCCTCAAATCCTCTCTTAGACCTCACTCCCCTCATTACACAAATAACAAGGCAGAGAGAGACAAGAGAGAACAAACTTCTTCCCCCTTTTCTCCTTTTCCCCTTTTCTCCCTTCTCCTTCTCCTTCTCCCTTTTTTTTTCAGTTCCTTCCGAGAAGGGCATTCAAAAGAAGCAGGAAGGAAAGGTGAGATGAGAGAAGCCTATATATAATATAGCCTCATCGTTGCTTTTTCCCTTTCCTCACATTCTCTCTTACGTTCTGACTTTGTCAAGGTGGGATAAAATAAGGGGGGGGGGGCATGCATTTTGTATTGGAGGAAAGTTTAGAAGATATCCCTCTCACCCCATAGAAAAGAAAAGCAAAAGAAAAGAAAACGAGACTAAAATCTACCTCACAAGCAATGGGGATAGAAAAAGGGAGAATAAACAAAATAAAGACCAAATATAGAAAAAGAGAAGAATTGACGGATTGAAGGCTGATTTTCGACAGCTAAAAAAAAATAACCGAATAGAAGGGGGAAGGGGGGCCCGGTTTGCACTTCGCAAAAGGTTATTTTGATTTGTTACTTCTTAAGAATGGATATGGATAAATGAATAAAATTAGCGTATCATATATAACCATAACTAGCAAAATAAAAAGAGAGAAAAGGAAAATCCGAATACCGAATACAATGAATGCTTCATCAAACAGGTGGTGGATGATAGGAAAAAATAAGAATGGAAGACAAATAAGCAGAGAGAGAGAGAGAAACAAAATTAAAGAAAATTCATTCCGACAGCATCTTCCACAGTCCCTGGCTATGCGGAGGCGGTGGCAGGGGTGCCTGTAACGGTATCATTCATGGCCATATCCGTCGTAGTCGCAGTCCCATACTCCGTCCTGCGCATAATATCCTCCACAGGGCCCAGCAGTCTCTTAAACCCGTCCCGCCCCAGCTGCGCAACCTTCACATCCGTCACGGCTACCACACTCGCGGCGCGCGGCTTCTCGTCCAACAGGGCCAGCTCACCAAAGTAGTCACCGCGCTTGTAGCGCTTCACGGGAGCACCGGAGGCAATGCCATGCTTGAAGGCGGCCGCCTCGCCCGCCTCGAGAAGGAAGAAGGTGTTGCCCGGGTCGCCTTCGCGGATGATGACGGCGCCCGCGGGGTGCTTGACGGTGTCGAGGGCGTCGGCGATCTTGGCGCGTTCGTAGGGCTTCAGGGAGGCGAGGAGAGGCACTTCTTCCAGGAACGCTTCGTACATGCGCCGCCGTTGGAAGGCGGCGTCCATCAGGATGCGGCGGAAGGTGATGCGGTCCAGGGCCCAGAGGGTGGATTTGGGCTCGGTGGATACGACGGTGGCGGCGCGGGGAGCGTTGTACATCAGGGCTAGCTCGCCGAAGGAGCCACCTGGACCGATGGTGTCGACTTTCGTGCCTAGGCCGCAGGTCCCACCGGGAGATGGAGTTGTTTGCTGGACGGAGCCTGATGGGTTGATGTAAATATCGAAGCAGCCGTCTTCGACGATGTAGAAGTAGTCGCCGGCATCGCCTTGGGTGATGACCTTGATTCCCTTAGCAGGGATTGGTTTCTCGACGAGGGCGTTGAGGACGGTTTCGAATTGCTCTTCATCGAGGTGGGAGAAGAGGAAGTTTGAGCTAACGGCGGTTTGAAGGCGGGATCGTTGTAAGGGGGTTTTGGGGTGGTAAGGGGGAACCCAGGAATCAGCGCCGGAATTAGAGGGATTTAGAGATTCGGCAGAGACGGAGGTACGGCGGCCGAGGGCGTAGTTATATGGGAAGCCGGACGATGATTCTTCCCCTCCTCCTCCTCCTCCTCCTCCTCCTCCTCCTAGTCCAGGGGTGTCAGTAGAGGAGGGGTTAGGGAATGCATCGGGGGCATGTTGGGCCTGGTGCCCACCGGGGGAAAATGGGTTGTTATGATGTTGGAAAGGGCTTCCAGCTTCTCTCCTTGATGGCATCTGCAGAGCAGACGGCCCTCCAGGGTCTGTGTGTGGATATGTGGAAGCGAAGGGAGGATCTCGATAATCCCCTGTGGGGTTGTGGAAAGCAGCTTCAGTGGGAGAACCTAGCGATTCGTCCTCTTCCTCGATCTTGGATACACTGGACACCCCACCAAAGGGGTTGGACCGTTGGAACATATTGTTGGCCATGGTGGTGACGCCCACAGTCAGTGGTGAGGAGGTTGTGGTGGGGGAAGAGGGGGAAGAAAGGAGAGTTCTTCAGGGAGTGAATTTTGTGCAGGAGCGGCGCAAACGTTCGAAACTTTTTTCTCCCCCTCTCCTTGGAGGGCTGAAGAATGGGCGAGACAACGGAGAGGACAGCGACAAAAGACTGTGGAGAGGCGACGCAGAGGATAGCAAAGGGGAAGACTGAAGGGCATTGATCATACAGGAGAGGGTAGTATGGAGTTGGTGCAGGATAAGGCAAGCGAACTGGTGGTGTGGGCAGGGCCCACAGACCACACACAGACCGCCCGCCGCCGAGCCTACGCCGCCGAGCCTGCGCTGTCGAGCCCGGGCTGGCCCACCTCCACGGGCGCCCACGGCCCAGGCGCCAGTTCGGGCTCGGGCGGGGCTGCCCCAGTGTCCACGACGCCCAGCGAGCTTCCCCTCGGCGGTGGCGCTTCGAGAAGACACCTAGAAGATTGCGGAAGCTCCCCCGCCAAATAAACAAGGCACGGAGGCGTGAGTTATTCCGAGTGCGTTTGTTGCTCTTACTGTTACTGTTACTGTTATCCTCGCACTTGTTTCTCATCATCCCCAGCTAATGATGCGCTGGACCGTATCCCTTTCCATGCGGGTGGATCATCGCTGTGGGGCTTAAGCGGATATTTTCCTGTGTTTGTATGTACTGTACATCCTATTATTGACAGAGGTTTATTTTCTCGCAACGACTCGTCAACTGTGTTGCACGATAAGCATGCACAGGGATGGGATACCAACTCCTTCCATCCACTTTCCACCTCCTTCCATCGTCTTCCAAGGGTCTTCTAGAAGCGCCTTGTCTTAGTGTGCTTCTGGAGAGACATTGCACAGTCTTTACGGAGTGGACTAACTATGTACCCGTTGATTAAAATTCCTAGCTTTGGACTTTCTTTGTACGCTGCCAAGAATCATGAGTTTCATTGTCATCGTTGCCCGAATGGATTGGATAAATCTATCAACACAAGCATTTGGATTGATATCTTGCAATAGATACATACACCCATGGATACATGTTACATCTACACACATGCTCCTTACAAATGTACGTCGGGAAAGGAAAGTGGGCGCTTTAAAAACAAAATAACCTACCTCCAGTGTAGAGAGGGTATCCATGCCCATTTTCTGCCTTGACATTCTCCCCCCCCCCCCCCCCCACCCCAACCCCGACATCCATTTCAGAGGGTAAAAACAAGTCTCAGAGTGGACTTTGGGCTGGCTCTGGGGATGTGTGGTAAACATACCTTCGCATAGTTAGTTAACCTTTTCGAACATTCGGAGATTGTCCGTAGACACAAAAACAACTATCCGTAATAATCATAATACATGTACCCATAGTTGCTAGAAAGAACACTGTCAAAACCGCAGAATAACTTCGTCATTTCTGCTGTCATGTAAATTTAGATCCTTCTCCCGCTAGCTCTACTCTATACATACTGCGAAGGAAGGAGTATGCGGTGCTTGTACCGTGTATATATATAGACTCGAAGTTACTACATGAGAAGTCACAATAGTTTCAAACTTATTGCGAGGCACTGTATGTGTATCACGCCATCCCCCTTCATATAATTATTTCCTCGCACTCGCAACCCGCACCCGCATCCCCTTCCGCGTCTCTAATTATCGCCTTATCTGCGATATGCAAGTCTTGTCTCCCGGAGCAGATCCGTATACCTCCCCATCGGCACAGCTTTGTATGTAATGTACTCGTGCAACATGAACGCAGGGTACTTGGTGCCTGGGAGATTGCCCGCAAGCTTCCTTTCTTTCGGGATCGAATAAGGAAAAGCCAGCGGGAAAAAGTGGGAAGGTCATGTAAACAGGAAAACCCGGTCAAAATGTCGCGCCACCCGCCCCTCACTGTCTAGCAATGAAACAAACAAGGCGCAGTGGAGTTTTCGATTTTATAAAAAAAGGGGGGTGGGAGGAGAGAAGAAAAATTTGTTTCCCTGGAGGCGGCGAGACGGAAAGCTTAAACGAATAGGACAAAACTTGAATATGATGTATGGTATGAGACATTAATTTCCAACCTTGAATGAAGCAAGAAACGAGAAGAGCACGCCGCACATGCACATGCACATGCACATTTTATCATCATCATCACGAATCCTACCTGTGCCAATTAATTCAAAATAATCCCCTAATTGGCTCCATAGCGAATTCGTCACCAACCGTCCGCTGTCAAAAGTGTTTTTTATAGAAACTACATGACAAAATGTACTAGTACTAGTTAGCCATAATCTCATGTTGTCTCGCCCGCGCTAAAATAACCTTACCAGTCCTTCCCGCACACACACATACGCTGCGTACACACCGTTTTTTCACACCACACCACTTCCCGTCGTAGTTCCCTCCCTCAACCCTGCAACCTGCGCTGCAAATCCCAACCACAGCCAACCAACCAAACCCGCCCGAACCGCTGACTAAACGCCAATAATCCGTCAGTTAACTAGTTAGCTAACTAGTTAGTCAACGAACTTAGTGAGTTGACCAGTTATAAATACCAATCGCTGAAGCTGTCTTTCCTTTTCGACCATGGGAAACAGGAAGGCCAAGGGCAAGAAGTCGTTCCGAGCAGCGGCCAGCGGGACGAAAACTCCAATCATGGCGACACATACTTTTCAATGGTACGTACCTACCTATCTTCTGTCATATGTGGGTGTATGTGGGTGTACGGGTCTGTGGGCGGCGGTCATGTCGCATTCTGTGCGATTCTGGCTCTTGACATTTTGTTGTTTGGGCCAGGATGCTGGGGACACTGCGGGCTGGCGCGGGCTGGCGCGGAAGGGGCTGTAGAGATCGGATACATGGAGCAGGGGAATTTATCTCTCTCTCTCGTCGGGTCGCACAATTTCTCTCTCTCTCTCTCTCTCTCTCTGCTTTTTTTTTTTTAAGGCGGGGGGAGTCTTTTGGGTGGGGAGAGAGCGGTGTAGGAATGCCTGAAGGACGGTCCGTTCTTGTGAAACGAGGGGAAATAAATGATTTTTTTTTTATCGAATTTATTATCCCGACCGCGCAAGGAAAATTGTTAATGGTGTGCGATACCTAAGACGAGAGGAGAAAGGAGAAGGAGAAGGAGAAGGCAGTTTGATTGGAACACCGCTTTCCCGAATGTGGTATATTTTGGGAGTGTTTGTGTGCTCGCTCTGCGTTCCGGAGTTATTTAAAAGATATCAACATCTTCAGCTCCATCTCCAGCTCCATCTCCAGCTCCATCTCCAGCCCCAAGCCGCAGCCCAGGTCTAGCTTCTCCATCCCGTAACTATTTGAGCCATTGAACGAAGAGGGAGTGGTTCATTGATTGATTTAAGCTGATGCTGACTTCGTGTTCTCTTATCAACAACCTGACTACAGGCCAGATCCAACAGCGAGCGAGGTTTACGTCACGGGTACATTTGATAACTGGTCGCGGTCGGTGAAGCTGGAAAGAAGTGCCAATGGGTTTAGGAAGGACGTCGAGGTACCGAGTATTGGGGGAAAGATACTTTATAAGGTATGCGGCTACATATATGATATATACAGTACATGCACACTCGGAGGAGGGGGAGACAGCTTGAAGGCATAAAAATGTCAGGGAGGTAAACCAAGATAAGATGAGAATGAGACGGAAGAAGAATGTCGAATATCGCTTCCAAAACTGCGCTGCGTCTTGGTTTTGATGCGAACTGGTTGCGTTTGGTGATATATTTCCTCTCATTCTTCTTCTGCTTCATTTCATTTGATCTTTACTTTCCCCCTTTGACCTGACCAATCCTGCACCTTATTTGCACTGTTCTCCTCGGTTTCTCGAGTCTTACATTTGAAATCCCCCCTCCTCCGCTATCGTTTTCTTGTCAGATCCTCGCCCCGCAGAAAAGAAGCACCAACCATTCATGCAAGATATGGGGTCATCATATGATATGAAATGATCCAGCTCCCAGGCGATCTCCGCAATGGCAGTTGCTGAAAGCGTGGGCTTTCGAGCGCTGAGCAACCTTCCTCTCTCCTCTCCCACTTCCTCACCGTCTTTGCGAGCACTCGCTCGGCCACTTGCTCGGCCAATGGTACCCTCCCCCGAAATACAGCGGCTGTTATTAGCTGGGTGTTGCCGGTCCATTCTGAAGAGGAGAGGATGAATGGGCTCAAGTGCCAGTCAAAGGCGAAAACGAGCACGAAGCAGGCAGGAGTAGAGAGCTCATTATTCAATTGTTCTACGTTGCACCTGTTAAGACAGTGGGAGACGGAGAGAAGAGATTCAGCCTTGTTTTCTCACAAGGCACCTGAAAGCATTCCCCCTCCTCAATGGTGCAGGATCTGATATTTGCTTTTTGCCCATCTGTCTTTCTTTTCTTTTTCTTTCCCTTCCCCCCTCACATTCCTTTTGCTTTTTCCCTTGCTTCAGTTGGTACTTTGCGAATACTCCGCATTTGGCCATGTCAGCCCATGCAACGCGGGTACTGCGCTAGTACTAGTGCAGCACGCTACGACGTCATTATTCGCCATCTGCCCCCAACTTTGTCCGATGTTTGGGAGAATCCTTTGGAACTTTTCGACTTGTTTCGAGGCCAATTTTATGCTTTGACCAGCGAGAACTCGGCACGACGTCCAAGCTGACATGCACCCTTGAATTGTCACATCATCATTGTGCCCATTCCCACGGCTCGTTTCGGCAACCTTACCCAGCCCCATCAAAATTCCTCCAACTTCCAACGTTTTGGAAAGCTGATCCTCATTATTTTTTTCCCGACTTGTTGTTATTGTTAATTTTTCTTTGGCTTAGTTTTGTTGTTTGTCATTTGCAGTTTATTCCCATAAATCCATCCAGCCTTGTTTTCAGCTCGTTGCCTGTACTGACCTGTCGTGTAACACTCAAGTTTGTTGTCGACGGTGCCTGGAAGATAGACCCCGCTGCCCTTCAAGAAGACGACGGCCATAATAATACCAACAACGTTCTCCTCCGCCAAAACATTAAAAAACTACCACCCACGGACGACACACCTGCGCAAACTTCAACGCCAACTCCCCCAACAAAGAAAGAAGCCGCAAAAACCATGTCTGGAGGAGTAACACCAGAATCCACAACCGCAGCCCTAGCCGCAGGCGTTCCCAAAGAGTCAGACAAGGCTCGAGAAACAGAAATGGGTGCTCCTACTATTTCATCTGTTGCTCCAGATTCAACCACCGCTAATCTGGCGAAAGTGGTCCCACAAGAGAACAGCAAGGATTCGGCTCCCGGAGCTTTCCCAGTGACACCCGGAGAATCGGAGAAGCTCTCAGTCAGCCCAATCCCAGCGACGGAAGGTATTGGCAACCCGATCCATCTCGAGCCGGGTCAAGCGGTCCCTGACCCTAGCACATACACAAAAAATACAATCAGTTCTACTGTCAGGACGGATAAGGAAGGATACGAGAATGCTAGTGCTACAGGTGCGGCCACTATCCATCCAACCAACGGCACCAATGGGGTCACGGCTCCCTTCATCCAATCCAGCGCTCCCATATCAACCACTGCCGCTCTCGCCGGTGCTGTGCCGCTCGAGACTACCAACTCCCATGCAAACGGATCCAGCGAACCAGAAGTTGCTGCCAGCAACGTCCCCGTAACGGTCAAGAAGTCGTTGGATAAAGCTCACAAGGAACCAGAAGCCGCAGGCGACCCCGCTGTTGTCCAGGAGAAGAAGGAGGTTGAGAGGGAGTTGCTCGGAAGTGTGGAACCTGCTGGATCTGCCTCCACTGGTGCACCCGCAGTGGTTCAAGACTCCATCGAAAAAGCGCACTGGAACCCCGAAGCCGCGGCTGTGCCTCAAACTGTGGCTGAGAAGAAGGAGGTTGAGCAGGAGCTGCTGCACGATGTGGAGCGCGTTGATGCATCTGGCGAACCTGCACCAAACACCTCGCAGGGAAACCAAATTGGGTCTGTCTCGCCGAAATCGCAGCCGGTAGCCCCCGCTGCGGCCGCGGATTCCGCAGGAACCCCAGCAACCGGACCGGCACAACCAGCTGTCACGGCGGGGCCCGAAACAACTTCCGCGTCTGCAGCTGCCGGAAATTCTTCCAGTTCCAACGCCCCTGCGGCTGGGGAGGGAGAAGCGACCCCGGCGGCAGCGACGGATGAAGCCAAGAAAAAGAAGAAGAAGGACCGCCAGCGCGCTCTTCTCGAAGTTGAAGGAAAAATTTTAAGTGGGGGGGGGACCGGGGGAATTGGAAATAATGGGGGGAGCCCCCTTTTTTTTTTTTTTTTTGGGGGGGGGGGGGGGGGGGGGGGAGGAAAGAAAAAGGAAATAAAGCTTGAAAGAAACGAGGCCAGGTCAGACGAGGAAATGAAGAACGGATTGGAAATGACGAAAATGGAAAGGAAAATGAAATCAAAGGGGCAATGAGAAAGGGAGATAAATAATGAGCAGAGTCGAT